AAAGGAAGAAAAGATGACCAGAGTCTCTCGCCCCACCTGCTCTGGGAAGTGTGCATTTCTCAGCCTCTGACAAGATGTGTAGCCATCCATTTCAGCTGTCTCTTAGTATCTGCTTTCCACTGATTTCTCCCTCTTCCCAGAGAGTTAATTTTCCTCTAGTAACCCTCTCTAAAAGCTCCCCATCATTACCAAGAAGGCATTTTTCTTCCTCACATTTCCTTTCTTCCTCACGGCCCCCTTAGCTTGCCCCTTCTCTTGTGGCCCTTCCAGCCTCAGTTTCCAGTTGTCCCCTGCCACCAGCTTCCATTGTCTTAGTTAAAACAGGGAAGATCTGCTGAGTGCACACAACCTCTTGCCACTGTGGAGCTGTTCCAGTTTTACAGATGATGAGCTTCCCAAACCCAAACAAGATAACCACAAAGTTTTTCCTTTCAGCTTCTTAACTGAGCTGATCTGAACAGTGCCATTTGCTGCTTGGACTAATGGTCTGAGCTTTATTGGTATGCAGCCGGAAAGAAAACATCTTGTTGAGGGCAGCAATACATTTTACCTCTAAATTTTAAGAGGGTGGAGGGGAAGGTTTCCCCGTGAGCAACTCTGGTCGCCTCTCATTCTTTTCCTGTCCACCTCTGAACAAGAAACAAGACCTCTTTAGTTGTGATCTGGAAGCTGTTTTCTTTTTGCTCCTACTTGCTCTTAGAGTTTGAGGGATGGAAGGGCAAGGGGTACGAGAGATGGTCTTGGACCCCAGAAGTGGAAGAATCATTATCTTCTCCCACTCCCTTGGAACCGTAAAGATCTTGGCGACCTGACTCATTCCCTGGTGACGTGCTGAGACTGCACTGAGTCTCCTTCTAGCATATTGATTCCAGTTCCCTTCATGGATGTTAGACAGAAATGAGAACAGTCTGCTTGGGGAGGGGGTTTGCTCTCAGCATTTGTCATCTACCAGGAAGCAGCTGTAGCTGAGACAGGTAAAACCAGGACTCTGCCAACATGAATCAGCAGCGGGGTTTTCCATCCAGGCCCACAGAGGGTCCCCATGTCCTGATAATCCTCCTCCAGTGTCATGGAATTTGGTGGTACAGCTTCATGGGGAAGAAGGGAGAGAGGGATTTTTGGCAGGCCACCTAGTTTTGTCCTGGACGAGTGTTAGATATATTTGGGGTGCCTTTAAGGGAAGGCCAGAGCTGTCCCTTAACACTTTTTCAGATCTTCTTTCTTGTCAGTGCCGATGAACCTTGAGTTTACAGAGCCAGGGCTGGTCCCCACTGGCGTCTGGGAGGAGACTGCTCCCTGAGTCACTGGGTTGGAAAGACTGCTGGCTGAAACCCTAAATGGTGTGGGAGTAGCCAGAGCTACCGAACCTCCTGTCCACATTGGGAAACTTCTTGAGCAGATACTCTTCTTGTCGCTAGGACTGACTAATTGTGAGGCATATACCCCCCTCGGTGAGGTGCTTTGAGAGCTCCAGCCAGAGAATGGAGTGGGAACTACATCTCGGGGTGGTTCTGAAAATGGGCCAGGTTCTCCTTCCTCTGGGCTCCTTGAGTTTCAGGCATGTGTGAAATCAGGAGTATTGGACTGGATGGCGTCTTCGGGACTGTAAAGCAGAGTCCTGCCCATCCGGCATCCTCTGTGCTCTCATTACCCACCCCCTGTATGTTTTGCTCTCCTCTCCCTCCTTCCCATCCCCACATTAGAGTGTGATAAGCAAGCAAGTGCTTATCAGGAGTCCTGGAGGCTGCTGATCCTCACGTGGCATTTTTTGGCTTCCTGCCACAAAGCAGGATTTAGTCTTAATACCCAAACATAGGAGGAGATGGGCACTTGGGAGTTGCCCTTTCAACGGTGTTTAAGGACTTGACAGAGGGAGACCGCCATAGTCCGAGGACAGATCGATGCCCCATGACTACTCTAGTCATGGAGGTTGTGAATATCTGTGTAGCAAGGTCTGGGGGTCTCAACCTTTAATGACCTCTCCCCTGTCCATCTGACCTTGTCTCACCTGAGCTTGGTCATCCATCGTACTGGTCTCTTGAGGGTTTTGTCTCTAAAGTAGCTTCCTGTACTTAGAAGCCAATTGATAATATTTGCTTATTTCCTCTACAGCAACTATAAAAGGTAAATACGTGACATGTGAGAGGCTTGTTTGCTTCTTTACTGGTCTGGAACATTTCTAGAAGAGTTCTCTTAGCTTTTCTTTGAGACCTCCCATCAAAAACCCTGGCACAACCTTAAAGCATCTATTTTACTAACCTTATTATCCCCCTTCTTGCATGGCTACTTTCTCTGCCCAGCTCCCTGAAGTTATGAATCATCATGACTTTAGGTGAGACTCCTTTGTGAAGCTTTGTAGGGCCACCACAGGCCAAGACCAAAGCTCCCCTCGTCCAACCCACTGAGATTAACACACATCCCTCCTTAACCCTGGGTGTCCCCTCACTCATGCCACCGACCCTTGGGGCGAAGGAAGATTAAACAGTCAGTGATCCTGGTCACACTGGTTAGATCCCCAGCCACTTTGTCCTCTGAGTGTATATGTCAGCTCATATTTAACCATCTGACCTATTGGGGGGACAGAAACCATTGATTTCTGGGAAGGAAAACCTCTGTGAGAAAGCGTAAAGGCACCACAGCCCAGCCCCTGATGTGAAGGAAAAGGGTTGATGAGGTGCGCAGAACAAGGCAGGGGCTGCCATCTTCATGGAGAGTCGGCCATCGAGGCTGGAAGAGAATAGTAGTGGAGGTTAGTTGGAGGTGCCTGCCAGATTCATATGTGCAAGGAAGAGAAGATCCAAAGTTCAAGCAACCACGTTCCTACATGACTAGTTTAGATATTCATAAACTCCATTGGGCTCTTTTTCAGTAGTCTCCTCAGTTAGACCAAAGATTCTTGCTCATTCTTACATTTGGAGTTACAGAAAGGGGAGGGCAAGGGAGGTTCTTAAAGCGGCAGCCGTGGGGCAGTCTTATGCCTCAAAAGAGAGCCAGTTCCTTATCTGTAAGAGACCCATCCAACTTCCAGACCGGCTCAGGGCCGTTCTGGCGCGTGCCACCGGCTGCCCAGGCACATTTCTCAGCACCACAAAGCCTGGGAAATCGTCACAACAGGCTTCTCTGTGTGGGTGTCAGGATGTTGAGAACTCATGCTGCTTGCTCTCCACTCCGTTCTAGAGCCTGTCCCGGGGAAGGCCTTTCAGGTAGATGCCCAAGGCACATGAACAAGCGTTCCCATATCCAGGGCTTATCACTTCATTTGTGTACGTGCAATGGACCCTTAGCTCAGTTTTTACATCCTTTCTTTCCTTTTTTTTTTATTTTATTTATTTATTTATTTTAAACTTTGTAATTTTTTTTTTAAGATTTTATTTATTTATTTCACAGAGAGATAGAGCAGGAACACAAGCCAGGGGAGTGGGAGAGGGAGAGCAGGCTTCCTGCTGAGCAGGGAGCCCAATGCGGGGCTCGATCCCAGGACCCTGGGATCATGACCTGAGCCGAAGGCAGATGCTTAACGACTCAGCCACCCAGTCGCCCCATTTTTTTTTAATTTTAAATCTCTCATCCAGATAATCTGAAAAGTAGTAATTATTGTACCGCCCTAAATTCATTTTTGAATATTACTTTCTAAACCACATCTCGTTTGGTCTCCCCAATTTTTTCTCTCCGTCAGGGAGTAGGGAAAGGCAGATGTAGTTCATCCCTGTTTTATAGATTAAAGCCTGAAGAGGCTAAAAGGGAAAACATTGACTAAAACTCCAGCTTATTTCTTGGCTTTATCCTTTTCATAGACCCTAATGACCTTTTTTGAAGCCCCAGATGCAGATTCCTGGTAATAATAGCAACAGCTTTTAAGCAATGAGTTTGCACTGTGCCAGGCGTTTTCTACACATGTCTTTTCATCTCTCCAGTCACTTGGCTGTTGGTGCTGTCTCTCTCTCTCTCTTTTTAAAGTAGGCTCCCTGCCCAGCGTGGAGCCCCGTGTGGGGCTTGAACTCATGACCTTGAGCTGAGATCAAGAGTCAGATGCTTAACTGACTGAGCCACTCAGGCACCCCAAGTGCTGTCTCTTTTTAAACTGAGATCTGGAGATGTCACTATTCTAGAGAAGTGGTGTCAGGACTCCAACCCAGGGCTTTCTAACTCGAAAGAAAGTCCGCATCCTTCATTCTCCCACTGCCCTGCCCCTGTCTCTGACTAAAGTTGCTGTGGAATATTGTGCAGCTCAGTGGCCAGAGAGATCGGAGGTTTTCTTTCACCTCCGGTCCAAACCCTAGCCACAGCTAAGCTGTCTCCTGAGAAAATGGCAGCTTTGGAAACAAGCAGACTATTGAAGGGGACTCTCTCCCTTGGAGAAATGGAAACGATCTATTTAATGGTGATTTATATAAGCTAGAAAGAGATCACATACCTGGTTCAAGATCCCCCTCTCCCCTGCTTCCTACATCTTAGTGCACCTTTTAGGTTTCCTTAACAATAGCAGTTTTAACATTGCTTTTAATTAGATGAATTAAGAATGTTCTCTGGTGTTATCACCCCCTCCCGCCCCCCTATCACCTTCAGTTCCCCATTGCTGTGAGAGCTGTGATTGCCATGGTAACGGGACTCCCAGTTGAGCTTGGCTCTCACTGGTCTCTCTGGTCAGGGGAAAGTTAGGGGCAGGCCTTCCTGGTGAACAGAGTTCTGACTGCCTTTCCAGGGGGCTGCCTTAAAGCCATGAAATGAAAGGAGCTAAAAGGCTGTAAGGAGAGCACAAGCTTCCTGCAGAAAAGCCCAAGTGTGCCCTAGCCTTGCTCGAGAGAGTTCTAGCCTTCCTCCTAAAGTAAGAGGGCCCCAGCCTCCTCCCCCTGCTACCCCAAGTTTGCCTGTATGTGTAAGAGGCCTTCTTTCCTCCCTGTGGTTGACTTGCTTCTGGCCATAGAAGGGACTTTGTTATTCTTGGTAACAAATTTTTCTCCTCGAATTCTCTTTTCTTCCCTCTTTTCTCCCCCACCCAGAGAGTTTTCAACGTCCTTTACCCCATGCCTGCCGACCAGCGGAGACATGTCAGCATCAACTCTGCCCGTTGGCTGCCCGAGCCAGGGCTTGGCCTGGCCTATGGTACCAACAAAGGAGACCTGGTGATCTGCCGACCAGAGTGAGTGGCCTAGGGTGGGCGGCAGTGTGGGCGGGAGGGGGTCATCCAGGCTGAGGACGGGAGTAATCGGCATCATCTATGGGTCTGGCCGTGAGGTGGGGTCTTGTAGATGGGAAATCGAAATTCTACTAGAGCCTGCCTCATTCTCTGCATCACTCTGTAAAGGGTCCTTTTCACTTAGGGTTGCTAGGGTTAGCTCTCTGTCCCAGAAATCTTCAAAAGACTGGTTTAGTTATTATGTCTTCTTAAATCTAAGGCAGTATTTTTTTCCTTTGTTTTCTCTTGTTCTCTGGTTACCTATTGATAAAGTTTCCCTGCAGGCAAAAGCATAGATATCAAAGATCCTTTTCTAAACGCCTTTTGAAAAATTCAACAGGTGGTCTTAGGTTTGTGTAAATGCCACAGACATAAATAAAATTGGAAATAGAGTACTGTTAAAGCCCTAATTTGTCAGGCCACTGATCTCTAGCAGCCTGGCTCTGTGTCCTGCCTGTTTTCCTTTCTGCTTGGCGCTTCATAACAGTGAAGGCAAATTGAAAAGCTCCATTTAAAATCAAAATGCTTGTTACCTGGTCTTGAAGTAGGGGGTAGGAGGGGACACTTCTGTCCTGGGTCCTGATGACACCCCTTCCCCTTCCCCTGGTGTTGTGGAGGATAGAGGTCTGTTCTTTCACTTGAGACCCTGGGAGTTAGCCAGGTCTGTCATCAATTTCCAGACCCAGCCAGGTGGGGCGCGTGAAGCTCTGTGCTTCAGTGCAGATCAGGCTGATTGCTGCGTGGGCCGCCGCAGGGTTCCAGCCGACTAAATGCCACTTCTGCCTCCACACCGTCCTAATGCTGTCCTTCACTTGGCGCAGAGTCTTCTCCAGGGGTGTTCTGCGGATCACAGAGCATGGCGTGACTGCTCTGGTAGGGTCTCTGGCTATTGGAAGTGTCTGCGTTGCCTTTTGATAGGGCCTTTGGTGATTTTTCCTAGGGTGTGTATTTGGGTCAGTTCTTGTGCCTGGTAGGTGATTGAGCCCTTCTCAGCTGAGCTAGGTCAGTGGCTCAGGAGAAAGGAACCCGATTCTAAGGGCAGCTCTTTCATTCTATCCTGCATTTTTGGAGCCTCTCCCAAAGAGAGGCTGCCGTCTGCGACCGCGGTTCTGCCAGCTGCACTCTCCTCAGGCTCTGTGTCCAGAGGGCCCCTCTCGCTAGCTGCTCGTGCCTTTCCAGAACTGAACCGGCCTCCTTGATGACTGTGCCACTGTTAGTCCTGGCGCTGGCCGTTTCTGCCCTCCTCCTGGCCTGACCATAGTCCTGGGATCAGTCTGCTCTGAGCTCTTTCTTTTTCTCCAAAGCACATGAGACTGATTATCTTATCTCACCCTCTTAGGAGTTCATAAGAGGACTCTGATAGGCATCTTTTCCAAAACTGGCACAGAATTCTGGACCATAATTTTATTCTTAACCAACACTGTAGTTACGGGCCTTTCTTTCCCTGTTTCTCCAAGACATCCTTCCTCAACATTGTCTTGTCTGTAGCTCCAGCCACTAAACCTTTGTCCCAGCCAGGCTCCCAGCCCCTTCCCTTGTAAAAGTGACCTGCTCCGACAGAGGCAGGATCTCTACCTCCAGTTCGTCGTGGTCCCCCAAGGCTTTTATGTCTGAAACCCCGGCCTCCGCACTTGGTGTGAGTCACAGACACCTCAGCCAAACATGAAGCTGGCTTTGGCCTCTCTTCTCTCTTGTCTCTCCATATGTCGTCTGCGACATCCAGCGTCAGCAGGCTGGAGCCATCCTGGACTGCCTGAGGAGTGTAGCTGCAGGAACTCAGGCCCCTTCCCCGAGCAAGGGGGCACTAGCAGTCGACACCACGAACAGTGGCCCACCGCAGACCAAGTTGTGTTGGCCCGAGAGCTAGCTTGGCCTGCCTGTGTGGGGTTGCTGTTTCTCCTGAATTCTTGGGTCATTCTGGCAAATGCCCCAAATCTAGGGCTGCATATTTGAGGGAACCATGTAAATTAAGACAGACATGACTTTGTCCTAAGTTGTTCACAGCTTCTCCGCTTCTCAGTCTCCTTCGTATCTGTGGGATTTGGCTTCAGGCAGGGAAGATGGAGCACTATTCAGGTAAAGACGGGCACACTCAGCCCAGGCCTCCCGGCAGATACATCAGTGACAGAATAAGGCTTCCTGACTTTCTGGTTCCGAGTTCTTTCCTACAGCTGATTTTTAAACCTTTTTTCTATCATGAATAACTTTAAAATTCTGATGGAAACCATGTACGTCTTCCACAGAAAAATATACCACAAGAACACCCATGTAATTTCATTGCTCTCTTAAGACCTCAGGTAAAGCATGCAGCTCTAGATCACGTTGAGGCATTGAAGTGGGTCAGGTGATTGACACGGAGGGAAGTGAGAGAGGAGAAGCAAGAATGTTCACATCTTTTGAACAGTCTGTGGTTGGTCCCTGGCCTAGAACAAGGAGAACAAACGAATAGGACGGTAGGAGCTCAGTGTCATTGTCTCTCCGGTAGGCAGCTGGCCTGAGGCTCATCGCCCTTCCCCTGGTGACAGAGCTCTGGCACGGCTGTTCCCGAGGGCACAGCAGCCGGCTGGCCGGGGTTACAGCCCTCCCCCCAGAACAGGTGGTTGTCTGCCCTCATCCACCGACACTGGCAGCTGCACCCCGCTTCCTGTTCTCTGCCTCTTGATTTCTCTTCCATTGTCTTAGCCTCTGCACTCTCTCCAAGCACAGACAGAGGTCACAAGCCCCTTGGGCATCTCTTGGTGGTACTAAAATCCCACTGACAGTAGAAGAAGGGCCTCAGGAAATACTCCCATCGCTCTAGGGAACCACATTCTGATGATAGGTGAGGAGACGAACACTGGCCCTGTAGCCCCTGTGTGAAGCCATTAGGGTGACTGGTAGCCCGGTCACCCCACCCTTCCTAGCAGTGAGGCCCTCCCTTCTCCTTTGCTTTGCTCCTCCCCCCCCCCCCCCCCCGCCGCCACTCCTCCCAAGCTGCTGCTGTGCCTCTGGCTGACTGCCAGGCCAGCCAACACCCCCACCAATAACCATAGTGGGTGTGAAGTACCAGATTGATGTGAGGGGGTGCTTGCTCACTTCCGGCTTCATAGATCAGCCCTACAAATGGGGGGGAGGTGTTGCTGGGAAGACCACTGCTTCTCAGAGTCAGCTCTGAAGACAGAATTGAGGGACTCATGCCAGAAGAAACTAGGCCAGGACTGTGGGGCATCTGGCCCCCTGGCCGAGTGTGGCACCCCTGACAAGGCCCCAGCTCTGTCCCTTAAGAGGAAGCTACCACTGTAAACAGTGATTGCAGTCAAGCATCACTGACCAAGGAAGAGAAAGGCACACCCCTGAATCAAAAGGGGAGCCACAGAGACTTCATCTTTCCGGCCGTCCCACAAGAGCCAGGTGCCAACTCTTTCCCACATTGCAGGGGTAGCGGGGATAAATGCCCATCCTTCTTCCAAATAGATAGCATGTAAGTGATAGATGAAAGAAGAATGTTCTCAAAGGAAATATTCCCTAGAAGTGGAGAAGTTCAGGGGCGCCTGCCTGGCTGAGTCAGTGGAGCATGCAGCTCTTGATCTCAGGGCTGTGAATTCGAGCCCCACGTTGGGTGTAGAGATTCCTTAAAAATAAAATCTTAAAAAAAAAAGGTGAGAAGATCAGAGCCATAATCTGCATGAGAGCGTGGTCACCACTGAGGAAGCTAGGGCAGCTCCTAGCTAAGTTCAGGGAGCCCCAGAAGGTCCCAGCTGTGAGGGAGTCACTGAGCCCAGCCCAGAAGCACAGCTTACAGATGGTGCTGAAGGAAGCCTCGGGTAAAGTGGAAGTAAGTCCCTTTGAAAAGGCTGACCCTTCTCGGCCTTCCCGTGCTTCCTCAGCCCTTTGTGTCTTTGCCTGGCTTTCAGGAAGAACCCGGAGCCAGCAGTGACTCATTGATCCTTACTAAGACCCAAGGAGAAAAGAGATGGTTGGGAGCATTCTTCAGCTTGTAGACAGAAATCGGTGATACTGGGTATTGAAGGCTAAGAGTCTCAGTCGCCAGAGAGGGTGTCTTCAATTCTGATCCTTGGTCCAGTACCTGGAATTTTAACCAGACTTTCAAAAACATGAGCTTGTTGTAGTCAAGCTGCTCTGACCACAGAAAGTAGAACAACAGGTCAGGGCTCTAGTAGACCTGTTGGTGGGGGGCAGAAAGGATGGGGGTGGGAGCGGGAGCAGCACATCTGCCAGACTCCGTTGTCTCGTTCTGCTTGGCCGTCGACCCCATCACTGAATGTCCCGAATCTGCAGCTCTGAGCTGACACTGCATGCTGCCAGATGGAAAGTGTTTGAGGGGACCCTTTGATCGTCAGCATCATGCTGACAGTCCCAGCCCAGAGAGTGGGCCTTCAGGTGGCCTGTCTTCTGAGACTGGAAGGAAGGTTCCTGGTCATGCAGCGCATGGCTCGGCATAGGTCTAGTGTGGACAGTTTGTTGTTGCTAACCGGCCCTGGCTAGCAGGAATTACAGAGGAAGGATTTGGCAGGGCCCCAGATGGTACTGTCACCTGTCAATAAATCTTGACAAGTTTGTAAATCAGAGGCTCCCTGGCAGCTGGCTTCACATGCGGTCTCATGCAGCCAGGATTTGCTCAGCAAAATCTGCAATGATGGCTTTGTTTTTGGAGGCCTCTGCTGTTGACCTCTGGCCCTTTGCCTCTAACGTCGTAGAAGGTTCTCTCCTCTCTCCCGTGCCCTGCAGTGCCCCTGCTCTTCTCAGACAACACCCACAAAAATAGCCGAATGCTCTGAAGAGGAAGGAGCTGCTCCTTTTTAAAGGGATGGTCTGAAGAAGATCACACTAAATCCACAGGCCTGCAGGCCCCTCGTAGCCAAGAGCAGTTAGACCAGACAGGGAAGGAAGAGCACCTGTGCTTGGCTGTGGCTCTTTCCCTCCAAAGGCGCTTGTGTGCTCTCAGGTGAAGTCCAGTCCCCAGAATCTTCATGACCCTCGAGAGACAGATGAGGGGTTCCGGCCTAGGCCTGTTCCCCTTCACCTGCAGTAGCACAGCCTCCTGACACTTGGTCCCTCGTCAGTCAGGCCCTGTCCGGTGCCCGTCCTGGCTAATCCTGACTTCACTCTCTACCCCACCCCCCCGCCACAGCTGGCCTTTCCCTCATGACCCGCTGGCTTTGATTTCTCTGCTCTTTGTTGAAGAAGTTCTGCCATTAAAGGAAGATGGCCGAAGCCTCTAGGTTAAAAAGTTGGCTTTTGTCAGAGCTTGTCTTAGCTCGAGCAGTCATTACAGAACACCACAGACTGGGGGATCTTAACAGAAATTTATTTCCTCACAGTTCTAGAGGCTGGAAGTCTGAGATGAGGAGCCAGCAGGGTTGGGTTCCGGTGAGGGCTGTCTTCCTCTGTCCTCACATGGTGGAGAAAGCGAGAGATCTCTTTCTTACTCTTCTTCTTCTGAGATTTTATTTTTAAATAGAATTTTTAAATAGGGGCACCTGGGTGGCTCAGTCGTTAAGCATCTGCCTTCAGCTCAGGTCATGATCCCAGGATCCTGGGATCAAGTCCCGCATCGGGCTCCCTGCTCAGCGGGAAGCCTGCTTCTCCCTCTCCCACTCCCCCTGCTTGTGTTCCCTCTCTCACTGTCTCTCTCTGTGTCAAATAAATAAAATCTTTAAAAAAAAAATTTTTTTTTAAATAATCTCTACACCCAACACGGGGCTCAACCTCAAGATCAAGAGTTGCATGTTCCACTGACTGAGCCAGCCAGGCACCCCACTTTTATACTCTTCTTATAAAGCCACAGTCCTTTTGGATTCCAGTCCCACCCTTATGGCCTCACTGAACCTTAATTACCTCCTAAAGACCCTCTCTCCAGCTACAGTCACACTGGGGGATAGGGCTCCAATATTTGGATTGGGGGGAATATGGTTCTTCAAGCACGTGTGCATGCCCCCTTCCATTTAGGAGCCAAGCCGGCTGTTTTGAGTATCTCTGTCAGTCTCCAGAGGGACACCAGAGTTTTGTTTTGGGGTTTTTTGTGTTTTTTTTTTAAGATTTTATTTATTTATTTGACACAGAGAGACACAGCGAGAGAGGGAACACAAGCAGGGGGAGTGGGAGAGGGAGAAGCAGGCTTCCCACGGAGCAGGGAGCCCGATGCGGGGCTCGATTCCAGGACCCTGGGATCACGACCTGAGCCGAAGGCAGACGCTTAACGACTGAGCCACCCAGGTGCCCTTGTTTTGTTTTCAAGTGAGGTCTGTGCTCAGTGTGGGCCTCAGACTCATGACCCCAAGATCAAGAGTCCCATGTTCTACTGACTGAGCCAGCCAGACGCCCCAGGGACACCAGAGTTCTGATGGGCTCAGACACTTCTTCCCCATCTCGTGTCCCCACCTTCACCACCCGCACCCCACCCTCAGCCACAGTGACTGCTAGGTAACACCTCTTCCAGGAAGGAATCCTTAAAAGCAAAGCAGTCTCTGTAACAGGATTGCTGCCTGGGGTGGCTTTGTAGGTCATTATAGAAACATGAGAAGCCACTGCTTCCCTTCTGGTAGCGGTGCCCGTGGGAGATTAGAAGAAACGGCTTAATGGTCCATTACAGGGAAAGGAGGAAGCAAGGCAGGGTTGGCAGTGGGAGAACTAAGAATGGTAAGGTGCCTCATTTTCCTTCCTGCCTGCCCCATGGCAGCAGGGAAGACCCAGTGGCAAGAGCCTGTGCTTTCTCGGTTTCGGAGCACGAAGCCCAGACTTTAGGTGGGGCTGCCTATGGCACCCTGTCTCTCCAGGGCCTCCCCAGCCTCTCATTTACCATCTTAGCTCCTTTCTTTATGTCTGAAGAACACTTAACCCACTGCCTACAGATAGGGTGGCTATTCTTTAGCTATCTCTCAGGTCCAAAGAGGAGCTTGTTAGGCATTGTCCAGAGGAAGGAAGAGGCTAAAAACCCACCACTACAGGCATTTGGGCTGTTGAAGAGTCGTCCGCATTGCTCCAGTACTGAGCGTCCTGGTCTCAGCTCCACCCCAGGAGAGACTGAAGAGGGCTGCCGGGCCACAGTCCACAAAGCCCAGGAGGTGGGAGGAGTTCTGGCCCTTCTCTCTCTAATGCTCTCCACCTTTTCTCCTCCACCCTTCCCAACTGATTTTCAGGGCCTTAAACTCTGGTGTTGAGTACTACTGGGACCAGCTAAACGAGACTGTCTTCACGGTCCACTCCAGCAGCAGGAGCAGTGAAAGGCCTGGGTGAGTTTGGGAAGGAGGAGGGCACAGCTGCAGGAGGGAGGCCTGTCCCTTCCTCCTGTTTTGGATGGGCTCTCAAGCAGCGCCCTCGTACTGCTCTGGGCTCTCTGGGTGCCTCTCCTCAGCCACAGCAGCTCCTCTTTGATCTGCTTCATGCATTGAGCTTTTGCAGTTTTATTTGAGAAAAGCATTCTATGGCTGAGGAAGAGAACAAAACCTCTGCTCTTAGAGTCTTGATTGAGAACAAACTAGGACATCCTGTGGCCCTTTCCCATCCTGGCCATGGTATCTGGGCACACTGGGGTTAGGGGAGAAGACAGAGCACTAGGGAGGGATGCTGTCCCTAAGAAGTGTGCTTGTGGCCCAAGGAGAATCTGTGGACAATGCTGCAGGTGACCAGGGCCTCAGGGACCAAGCTGCTCAGAGCTATAGCCCAGGGACAAACCCTCCCCAGGGGCCAGAGAGTACCTGGTACCGACCCTCTTATCACTTAATTTATTAACGAAGACTGGAACATTCTCACAAAAAGTGCTGGGTCAATAATACACCTTAGGCAATCGCTGCTTCCTAGAGGAATTACAGGGCACAGCTAGAGGAACAGTCCCCAGAAGCAGCTAGAAAGGAGTGGCTGGTGTCTGTCACGGAAGTCCTGGGCTCCCTCTGCTGCCAGCCCCAGCTCTCCCAAGGGGCCGGCGCGCCTGGGGAAATGCCCAAGGGAAGAGGGCTGCCAGCTTTGGGCCTGGGCCTTGCTTCCCAGGTTAGCTTGTGCTGCCTGCCTTCAAGGGCCTGCTGCGGGAAGGCCCTGAAGGAGCCCAGAAGGGCTTTTCCTCCAAAGTGGAGAGCCAGGGAAGATTCCAGGAATTTAAACTGGAATCCTGTCAGCATATAGTTAGAGGGAGGGAAAAGCTAAGAGGAAAGGTCCTGCTGCTGCTGCTGCTCACCCTTTGTCCCACAGATGTCAGCGGGTGGCTTCCTGAATGTAAATAAGTCTTAAGATCAGCCACCTCTCCCTCCCCAGAAAGACACTCGCTGTTTAAGGGAGTGACAGAACTAGCTGGTTTGCAGACTTGGGTGGTTCTCTAGGCTCTTCTCATTGTCCCAGAGCTTGGCCTGATCCAGAGGCATGACCTGCCATCGGGAGGGAGCCGCGGGAGCACAGGGCTTGTCTTTGGAGCCTGTGGGCTCTGCTCCAGGGGGCTGTGCCCTGAGGGTCGGTGGGGAACAGGTGGGACTCTGGGAGGCGTGCTGTCCCAAGCCTTGCCCGACTTCCGTCTGCCTCCCTCCCCCTAGAACTAGCAGAGCTGCGTGGAGGACAGACAGAGACATGGGTCTGATGAACGCCATTGGGCTGCAGCCCCGGAACCCTGCCACCTCCGTGACATCTCAGGGCACCCAGACTCTGGCCCTTCAGCTGCAGAATGCCGAAACGCAGACAGAGAGGGAGCTACAGGAGCCGGGGACAGCGGCTTTGGGTCCTGGGGAAGGTAAGAGTCACATAATTCTAGAGGGGAACTACGACTGGGGGTCCTCTCACCCCTCCTGGTCCCTCCGCAGAGACAGGTGGTGCTGAGAAAGGGCCCGCCCCTCTCCGAAGGAGTATCCTCTTACTGCCTGGGAACGCTCCCCCGGTGGTGTGAGGCGCCTCCTCAGGCAGGAACGGCATTTCCCTGATCTGGCTCACTGTTCCCAGCAGGCTGAGCTGCTCGTACAGCTCTGCTCAGCTCCCACCAATACCCGGACCGCCCTCTTCTGTAAAACTTGGAGGATCCAGGCTGTTCTTCCAGAGAGAGCACACAGGAAGTGGCCTAGATATGGAAGAGCCTGTGAGAGAGACTCGGTGCCGCAGGCTCTTGTTCCGGGACGAGCACGCAGGGCCTGGGCTTCGGGGCTGGCCACAGGGTAGATTGTCGAGCCGTGGTTATACCCATGGCTCCTTGCCGTTCTGGCTGCGGCCAGCGCACCAGCAGCCCCTTCCTTCACCTTCCTCAGGTGTGGCTCAGCCAGCTTCAGCCCTGGCTCTGTGCTGGCCTCACACTTCTGAGAACCAGTTAGCACTTCCCAGTGGTAGAGCTTGAGCCACTCTGGAGTCTGTCGGCAGCTGTGCTAAGCAGGCTGTTCTCACCCAGTCACTCTCCTTACCCCCGCCCCAGCCCCCTTGCCGGTCGGAGCTTCAGACAAGGCAGCCTCCAGCCAGACACACATGCTTTGGGTCTGTGTTGAGCCATTTGCTCAAAAAACGGCCACAGAAGGAAGAGCTGTGGTGTGTGGGAAGCAGAGTAACAGATCTGCCTGTGTCTCCCAGGGAGCAGCTTTCCATCCTGGAGCCCCGCGCAGGGTGCTGTCCCTCTCACCACCGTGAACGGAGATTTTTTAAAAATTGAGTCCATTTTTTGGGCCCAGGCCACATCCCCATCTGAGGCCCATGACTCTTTGTTGGTTGTGGCCAGTTCCAGAGGCCAGCACCTCATTCCCATCGTGTCTCCTCGCCCCAGAGGAGAGCAGGTGGCGGAGGCGGAGCTGTTCAGAGGCCAGAGGCGCTCTGCGGCAGGTACAGCCGTCCGGCACTGGAGTGCGGGCAGGGTGGGCTCAGGTAGCTCGCTTGCGTCAGTCTGGGGCCCCGTGACCTTTGCCTGGAGCTCTGCACCCCAGCCCTTCTCAGCGCCCCTGTCCCTTTCAGAAAGCCCCTCACGCAGACAGAAGAGGAAAGGTGTGGGTGGTGGGGAGGTATGTCCCTGGCCAGCTTCATCTCTCCTGGCGCCAGGAGCCTTGTTCTGAGGTGCTTTCCCCACTGCACCACCAGCCACTCCTGCCACTCTGGTAGCAAGGCAGGGGCCCGGGGAAGCACGAGTCTCCTTGGGTGCAGACAGGCTCTCTGGCCCGCCCTCCCCGTCCGGCAGGCAGGCGTCGCAGCTCTGCACACCGCTGCCTCCGCTCTCACCCCTGCTCCTCTCTCCGTGTTGGCAAACTGATGGCCACAGCTGCAGGAACATGTAGAGGAAACCCTTAGTGAAGTTAGCTGACGCTTTTCCTGGGCCTAGCTAGAAGGTGGGGCCAGGGCGGGTACTGCCTTGTACCCCTACGCACCAGAGGCCCAGGTGGATTAGTGGGGGAGACGGCCCTGACTAACGTTCTGGGGCTGTCCCTTCCTTAGCCCTTTCCCCGTCAGTCAGCACAGAAGGGTTTCCAGGCCATTCTTCATTTTCTGACTCTCTAAAGATTGGATTAAAGTCTCTTCAGCTCTTTCTGGGACTTCCAGGAAGAGCCTTCCATGGGGGAAGTTTGCAGGTTGTCAGCTTTTTAAAGATTTTATTTATTTATTATTTAATTGACAGAGAGAGAGAGACAGCGAGAGAGAGAACACAAGCAGGGGGAGGGTCAGAGGGAGAAGCAGGCTTCCCGCCGAGCAGGGAGCCTGGTATCAGCGGGGCTCGATCCCAGGACCCTGAGATCATGACCTGAGCTGAAGGCAGTCGCTTAACCAACTGAGCCACCCAGGCGCCCCAGTTATCAGCTTTTTAGCTTGTCCACCTTCAAAGCTTCTCTACCCTGTCCCTCGGAAATGGAGGGGAGCGTTCCCTGGGCTCGCTCTTTGCTCCCCACACTGATACAGTGCCTGCCCAGCATATAGCAGGCACTCAGGAAGCTTGTGGAATGGATGGATTGAGTGAAGGCAAAGGCCTACCCCTGGGCTTGGCTGTGTTCCCTCCTGTCTGTCTCTGACCGCTGGAGAAAGGTTGCCTGGGCCTTTCCTTGTCTGGTGGAGATGAGAGCCCTGCTGCAGTAGCCTGGGCCCGGGGCCAGGGAACAGCAAAGGTGGAAAGCGAGGGGCTGGAAGGCTAACTGGTCCCCCGAGGGCAGGAAGGGCAGCTCCTCCTTTCCCTTCCACTCAGCCTGGCTTCCCTCTTCTGGGCAGCGAAAACCCCAGAATTAAATGCAGTTACAGGGCATTATGGGAACTTGCTGATCCCATCCTGGCCTTCGCACTCAGAAAGTACCTTAGAACTTGCCAAGGAAAAGATGTCCTGTCAACACTAACTCAATTTCCCATTTTTCAAAGGCAAAAAGAAATGCTTTGGCTAGGGGAAGGAGACAGCAGAATTAACCTCTGTGGCCACCACTGCTCCTAGAGCTAGTAGCTTGGATCCCCAGCCATAGCTGCCTTTTCCCTCAGGCTCCAGTGTGTTTTCTTCTTGCAGAATGTGCTAGCTGCTTCCAGTGGCTCTTAGCCTTGGCTTGGAGTCCCCGAGAGAGAAGCTTAGTTCACAGCTGTGTGCACTAGCCATGAGGAAGCCGGCCACGGGCACAGCTTAACTTCTTCCGTCTGGTCTCTTTTGAGCACTTCATGACTGATACTGTGTTAGGCACCAGGAATCCAAAGGTATCGCAGAGAGAAGCAGCTTCAGAGATGAGAGCATTGTCTTCTCCTTCGAAAGCAAGCCCAGAAAGGGAACAAACACTTAAGCACTTCCCGCACAGCAGAGGGGGACGTGTGACCAGGTTTCACAGACTACCTTGAGTCTGGAGCACCTGGAGGCAGCCTGGGAGCCCTTTCATTCAGCCACACGTTCATGTGACAGATGGACACCAAGGGCAAGACCACGCATTAGCCACCGGACCCAAAGATAGAGAAAACTTACTCTGAGGCCTGCAGGGACCTGCAGCCCAGGAGGGACATACCACAGCCACAGATGACACACACGGAGGTGTGGGGCACTGCGAGGGCTCAGGGAGGGAGCAGCCACTCCCAGCTGGGGTCCACAGAAGGCCAGGTGGGAGGGGTGGTATTCACATTGACCTTGACATTCCCAGGATGTCCCCAGTGTCTGTGAGTAGGGGCAGGCAGGCACACAGCAGTGCCCCGTTGGCTTTGGTAAGATCATTGGCGCAGGAAGGGAGGATGGTCAGGGAAGTGGCTAGGACCTGACCGGAGGGCCCTTAAATGTCGTGCTAAGGCATCTTGATAACTTTGAGGGCCCTTAGAGCTTCTGGGTTTTAAACAGATTAGGGACTTAACTAGAACTCAGTGAATCTGAGCTTAATTAGAATGGTAATAGCAGCAGCGTGGAGGCTGGGTGGAAAGGGAAGTGATAAGCAAGAAGCCCAGTCACGAAATACAGCCACAATCGTGGTGAGACATGGCCAAGGCCAGAGCCACGGGTGCAGCGGGAAAGGGCAGCAGGACCTTTCCGGGGACCTGGCTGTGGCACCGCCCTTAGGGCCCCAAGGCAGCCCTGTCCTGCCCCTGGAAGTGAGCTTCGTGAAAAGAGCTGATAGTTCACTAGGCACAGAGCCCAGCACGGTGAGCGACAACGCCAGCAGGCCTCGGGCCAGCCCTCCACACATCCCAGACCCAGCTGGGAAGGCCCTCAGTGCACAGAGTTCTTGGAAAGCAGTGGGGGTGGCAGTGAGCACAGAGAGGTCCCCAGGGGGCCTCCCCAGGCAGCCCTTTGGGCTCACAGGATAGGAGCTGTGCTGGCCCCGAGGCCCTGGGTGACCTTTCCTCTTACCCTCTGCCCCACTGTTGGAAGGCTTTGCCCCCTGAGAGAAGTGCTAAGAGCCCTTCAGAGTCTTTTCTTTTGTCCTGGGAGTTGGCGCTGAGCTGTCTGAGGGGGAAGCAGGGAAGGGCAGCCGCCTTAGGGGGTTGGGGGAGGATGGGGAGCATTGATGGGGAGAAAAGGGGAGAAACGCAAACCGTGGGCACGTAAGTGAAAGCTCAGGCCGAGTCCCCACTGCTTAGTGCTGAAGAGAAGCATCTGACGAAGACCCATGGCGTGAGGCTGCCATGCACTAACAAGGAGGGAAAGATCTAATGGGGCCTTAGCCACCGCGAAGCTGTGGAACTGGCTGGCTGGAAATCCAGCTCTAACAAGGCAAGCAGAGAAAAGGGACTGGACAGGGAGGGAGCAAAAAAAGTCTTACAAAAATAGCTGTTGACAATAAGTGCCCAAAAAAAGAAAAACCCTCACATCAGCGCCCCCAAATCTGCAAAATCCCAAACTGGCCAGCAAGTAGCCGAAGGAAATAAATTGATAGGTAGTGGCAGCCCTGGCAGCCCCGGGGGGTCTTGATCGTAGTTGCCCACAGGCTTGGGTCAGCCAGGGGGCTGAGCACAGGTGGAGGGAGGGTCCCTCAGGACGGAGCCCCACTCCCAGGCCCTAGGTTAATCACCACAGCCATCGCCAAGTGCCCATCATGCCCATTACCCCATTTCCTCGGCCCAGCCCACTGTGCAAGGTGGACGTTAAGGGACTCATCCAAGGTCACACAGCTAGTGAGCACAGAACGGATTTGAACCAGAGCCTCCTCTGCTCCCCCACAAGGGGAGTGGGAATGTCCAGGCCTTTGGGGAAGGAACGGAAACTTCTCTCCCTCCCTAGAGATGTGGGCTGAAGCCTCAGGCCCGGGCAGTTGGCTGTCTCCAGGGAAGGATGAGGGTATCAGGCATCCAGCCCAACCCAAGGAGAAGAGTAAATGGGAAACAGCTTGGGAAAGCTGGTGGTTTCGGAAAGAGGGAAGAGAGGAGACAGAATGCCTTCTAGGGAACAGTTAAAAACTCAGTCTTCCTCAAGGGCTTTTGGGAAGTAAACAGACCAACACCGAGGGAAGACAGCACAGCTTTAAAATGACGCAGAGCAGGCTATTTGCCTTTGGGCCACACGCTGTAGCTTACCCTCTCTTTCCACACACCAGGCAGCACGCCCTCTCTCCCGGCCAGGTCTCACAGTTACCCAGGGAGAGGGCAGACAAAGCAAGCCCTCTGCGTCCACCCCAGCCACCTTCATTCATGTAGTGACTAGCCCGCCACTTGTGCCCAGTGCCTGCCTTCTGGCCCAGCTCTGCCTCTTAACTGGCTGAGTGGCTACCTCATGCCATCCCCAGCCTCAGTTTCCCCACCAGTAGAATAGAAATGGGAATTATGACCATTTGGGGGATCTTGTCTAGCTTTCAAGTCTCTGATCCTCCGAAAGAGGGAGTTGGACTCTTCTCGTTTCTGCTTTTGGCAGAGAATCCCCCAGCTCCTCCTCACGGTGGCCTGCCTGCCTCAGTGGCCCCGGTCAGCCGTGAATCCTCTCTGTCCTGTGCTCCCTACCTTCCAGGCGAGGGCTTGGAGTCCGGTGCGAGTGGGGAAGATGCCCTCAGCAGGATCCAGCGGCTGATGGCGGAAGGGGGCATGACGGCCGTGGTGCAGCGGGAGCAGAGCACCACCATGGCCTCCATGGGCGGCTTCGGCAACAGCATCATCGTCAGCCACCGCATCCACCGCGGCTCCCAGACCGGCGCTGAGCCCGCGGCCGCCCGCGCCGCCTCACCCCGGCCCTCCGCCTCTCGGGGACTGCTCCCGGAGCCCGGGCAGCTGGCAGAGCGGGGCTTGAGCCCCCGGACAGCCTCCTGGGACCAGCCTGGTGCCCCCGGGCAGGAGCCGCCCCAGCCGCCCCTGCCACCTTCCTCCCCGGTCCCCGCCCCTCTCCCCCTTCCCGGCACCGAAGGACCAGCCCTGCACTGCGACCTGACCAGTAACAATCACCTTGCTGATGGCGGTGGCAGCGGCCGGGGGGAAGCTGCAGGCCCCAGCAGGGAGCCACGGAACAGGTAGAGACCCATGTGTGCACTGGTGCTCCCCCTCGAACCGCTGAGCAGAAACCGGACCTCACAGCTGACTGGGAACTGTACGCACGGAAGAGCTGCGGGCTGCATCAGGGAACAGGAGCAGGGTGGGGGGGGGTGTCGAGTGAAGTCAGAGGCAGTGGGTATGAGGCAGTCGAATGGGCAGGGCTTGCCTCGGGACTAGAACCTTCCAGGATCTGGAGCCCAGGGGAGCCATACTACTGTGCTCCGTGTGAATGGAGGAGGAAGTGGGTATCCCTGCCATGAACCCCCCTTTCTCCTAGAAACATGGCTGAAGAGACTCAGCCCTGGGCAGAGAGCCCCAGAAGGGTGAACTGTCTTCCAGATCGGGGCCAAACCATCAGGGACAGTGGCCGCTGGGGTGGCTTTGCCCTGGGCCCTGTGGCACGGGCGGGGCCGCTAGGAGCCCAAGAGCAGGAGGAGCAGCCTGGGCCCCCAGGAACCGCCTCTGTCTCTGAGCCTTCCGGAGCTTCGGCCTCTCTTTATCATCTTACCCCACAGAGACCACAGCCAGGGGTCAGGCCAGGCTCCCAGATTCCTGAAGACAGGGACTTCCTGCACTTACTGTTGGGGAACAACCATGGAGCCAAGGGAGCAGACTGCTCGCCTGATACAGGATGGGGTCAAGGGACGGTGGGCAGGTCCTCACTCAGGAGTGGGGGGTGTAGGCTGGCCAGCCCCCGGGGCTTGTCCACCAAGCTCCTCTCCCCCTGCCCGCTCCCTGGCCCTCAGAGCAGCACCTGTGGGTGGCAGTATTACATGAGCCCAGGCCAAAGCCAGCCCCAGGCTGGGGTAGGGGATGAGACTCCAGGTCAGAGTGTGAGGTCTCAGTCTGTGACTTAAGGTGTTGCATGTGGAATCTTGAACTGTACGTGTAGTTTCTAGTGGAGAAATCAAGGCTCTGATTATTTTGTTTTTAGTATGAAAATGTGATTTCTTTTCTGTTTGTAACTCATCATAGAAACATTGTGGTGGGAGGAGAGGGGATAGTCTGACTGCTAATGAGGGAAACACCAAAGATCTACATCATTAAAATGATGACATGCCCCTCACCAGGCTCCTCTCTGTTTGTTTCCATGGAGGATGGGGGTGGGGGTGGGGGGGTCATTGAACTAAGCGGGCTCGGGTTCTGTCAGGCACTGTTTCTGGTGCTGCTGTTCTATGTGGGGAGCCCTGTCTGTCGCCTCAGCAGAAGAAAGCAGTCAGGTACGGGCTGCCACATGTGCTGGGTCTCTGTACCCCACCACCTCCTGCTTCCCCCGGGCCTGCTAAGGATTGGGGCAGCCTTAACAGTGACAGGTGGGTAGGTAAGAACGACGGAAAGTCACCCATCCTGATTGCTTCCTACCCAGGACTGTGGGTCTGGAATGAAGATGTGACTGGGACTGGCCAAAAAGCTGCTGGATCCTCCCTGGTCCCCAGAAACCACCCATCATGGGTGTCTGGGCTGGCCAGGCAGGGAGCTTGGTCTTGTCTACAGGCATCCCTCTAAGATGCCATTTGTGGCTGCTCAGGTTCCCCTTTACTTTGTGTCCTTAGCACAGTGGCTAAAGGGCCTGCCGTAGTTGTGGGCCTTGGCCACTTTGAGTTTCAAGCCAGTTAGAACATGGGAAGATATTTGCCCCAACTCTTACAGAAGTGTACAAGAAAAACAGAGCCACCCCAGGGATTTTTGCCGGCAACAGCTGTTTCTTTTTTCTTTTTTAAAAGATTTTATTTATTAGAGAGCGAGCATGAGTTGGGGAGGCGGGCAAAGGGAGAGGGAGAAGCAGGCTCCCTGCTCGGCTGGGTTCGATTCCGGGACCCTGGGATCATGACCTGAACCAAACGCAGACGCTCAACCTACTGAGCCACACAGGTGCCCCAGCATCAGCTATTTCTTGACTATCTCTTGTGTGCCCGACTCTGTCCCAGATCCTCTGGGACTTGTAGAATTACTGTCCCAACAGAGACAAAACCAAAAGGGCAAGCAAGTAATACGAAACAGTGTGTAGAGCTATTACAGTTACGAACGCTAGAATTTTCTAGAACATAAGAGTGGGTTCTGGACTAAAAGATACGTCAGCCAGCTGTGTGACCTTGGGCGAGCCACCTGCCTTTTCTCTGCTCCACTTTCTTCCCTTGTAGTAGGATACAGGGCTTGTATTATGTAACCTCTTACAGTTACTTGGAACTCTATAATTTCGAGTCATTCTAGGTCAGTACTGGAGTGGTTAGGGCCAGGCTTCTTAGAAGAGGTAGGATTTGAACTACTCATTGAAGGACAGAAGGATTGCCCCACTGCAGTCCCTGCCCTCCACCCACGTACTCCCATCCCCCAACCCCCCAGGAGAGGAAGAATTCCCTGGTCTGACAGTATGGACTATGGATTTGTTGAGTATAAACCACATGCCAAGGACTCAATGTGTACTATCTCGATCCTCATCACAGAAGCCCTCCCAGATAGGTACTAGTACTACGCCCCACCCCCCGCCCCAGACCACACAACTAACTGAGAACCCAACTTGCTCTGTTATTTTGGAAAACAGGGTATGAAGAGGCCTTGTGGATGAGAGGATCCAAATTTGGTCCTGCCTGCCTTGCCTGTGCCCTGTCTAGCCAAGGATAAACCCAGCAGCTACCTGTCAAACTTTTCTGTTTCCACATCAACCCCTTCCCTTCCCTTTAGAAAGCCCTTGCCTGGTGGATAGAAGCTCCCCTACTAGTAGTAAAGCCTCAGGGCCCCTTGCCTGTTAATAACAAGGTTGTGTGGTCAGCAGGGCAGAACTTGGCAATCCCGTTTGGAGATGAGCAATTCGGTTCAGAGGAGTTCTGTAGACCCAAGTTGTCTATGAACCCAATTGAGTCAAAAGGAAGAGAGCAAAGGCAAAACCAGGGCCCCCGGTTCCCAACTCAGCTCTCCACAGTTGCACTGTTGGGTCTGGGATTGGGGGGGTCAACCCTACCACATGGTAAGGGTTTCAGGGAAACTGGAGCAACTTCGCCTGACGGTTTCTGGAAGAACTCAAGGCAGTGGTTGGAGACATTTCTGATTTCTGTGGCCTCCAGTCCTTGGCCTGGCTTGTTTCCTGTGTGACTTTGTAAGTATCTGGCCTCCCCCCCCCCCCCCCCTACACACACACACACACACACACACACACACACACACACACACCACAATTCCACCTTCCTAGGAACACCACCCTCTCCTGGATTTATGGCAAAGTGGAACAAGGGCAGGACTGTTACCTGACTGTCATATGAACCAACTGAGCCCCTTTCTTCATCTGTGAAGCAGGGGCAAGAACAATATCTTCTCTCCTCCTTGGTTATGAGGCTCATGGGAGACCAGATCATTCACATAAAGGACTATGGCTTTTCACTCTAAGCCTAAACAGCCACTTCCAGCTTCCCTGGGGAGCACCGGAAGACCTCTTCCTCATTCAGCATGGAGAACTCCACACCAAAAGCCCCGCAACGCTGGCTCTTGCCCCAATTCCCGCCCCTTCTCTGGCAGCTCCTGCCGCCTCCCCTCCACTGCCTTACCCGCCTCCACCGCCCCCCTCACAGCCCCCCGCCCGGTTCTGCGGGAGGGTGGAGGGGCGGGACCTGAGTTGTTTTTCAAAGAGAAGGAACCGGCGGTCTTAAGGTTCATCGGGTGTTTGCGCTCAGAGAGTTTGGGGTGACAAGCTTCAGGACGTGGGCGTGGTGGGGGGAGGGATGAGTCCGGCCCTGGCTGGCCCCAAGAAGGGTCGTGTCAGATGGAGGCAGAAACGCGGCTGCCTGGTAGCGCGGAGCGGAGCCTACAAGGTCAGGGTCGAGGCGGAGCTCTCCGAGGTGCTGAAGCCACCCGACTCGGTCCCGCGGACGCCCCAGCCGCGGACTCCCGGGCCCTCCCGCTCCTCACAGGCAAGGCCCCAAGTCCCCAGGCCCCGACCCGTGCGGTTCCCGGAGACCTCAAAAGACCGCTCGCCCTCTGGGGCCTCGTTCCAGGCTCCGCCCCGGGTGACCTTGGGCACTCAGCTTTCCCTCACAGGCATCGGTGAACTCGCCCTCCGGCCGCGGCTGGCTGGGCGGCGCGTCCCATCCCGGAGCTGGAGAGAGGATGCACACCCCTTCCCCGGCCTGGAGCGCGGGAGCCGGGAGCCGGGCGGCGGGGGTGGGCGGCCGGGCAGGGGTTGTGTGCGATGGGCGGGATCCTCTCTCCCTGGCGGACTGTTGCCTGTCTTCTCTCTCCAGCTCCTTCCTAGGCCCCGACGGCGCCCGTCTTCTCTGATAGCCCGGCGGCCAACATGCGGCCCTGAGGCTGGAAACTGCCGGCCCTCGGCTCTCTGCCCCGACGGAACCGTGACGGCTGAGCCGACCCCACCCACCCGTAACCTCTTGCTGGGGTCAAACACTCGCGCCTCCGAGGTCCCACTGTGAGCCGGGCCCTGTAGGGAGGGAGGTCCAGGCGGGGCGCAAGACCACCTCCGGGTCCCGGGTACTTGGTCAGAGCGGAGGCGGAGAGCGCAGCCAGACGGGGCTGCCAGCTCCCTCCCCAGCCCGCGAGGGGGCGCCGCGTCCCCATGACAACGCGGACACCCCACCCCACCCCCCACCCCAGCCTCCCGGGAGGGCAGCGCCCCCCGCTAAGCCGTACTGCCCACCGTGGGCGGTGCCCCTACAGTGGCCGAGCGCGGAGCTGTCGGCCAGCTCCAGTGAGGGGCGCGCGTAGCTGGGGTCCCCGACGCCCCGGGTGGTGCCCCCCGCGCGTCGCAGTTGGGTGGCCGGCCCGGGGCGGGCGGCGCGGCCCCACCAGGATTGGCTGCTTCCCCGTGACATCACGCGGCTCGGGGAAAAGTGCGAGCGTGAGTGCGAGTCGAAGCCACAGCGCCAGGAGCTGCGGGCGGAGCAGGGGCCGCCCCTCGGCACCCCGTCCCCGCCCCCGGCCCGCGGCCCGGCCACGCGCCCCGCCCGCTGGCCCGCGGGCCGCGCGCTGGTCCCGCCGTCTGTCAGGTGCGAGGGGACCGGGGCGGAGGTGTCTGGTAAGTGACTCCGCGGCGGCGCGGGGGCGGGGGGGGGACTCGGTTGGGGGAGAAGGACGTGGGGCTCCCGGACCCTCTGAGGCTCCCCGAAGGCGGGTCCCACTGGGACGGGGCCCCAGGCTCCTTTGGGGACGAGCGCGGTGCTGGGGGCTGCACAGAGCCCGGGGGTGAGGGGCCCCGCTGGAAGAAAGACCCGGAGTCTCGGAAGCTTCTCCAGGTGCGCCTCTGGGAAGGAATGGACATTCAGGAGGTCGGGGGAGGGGTGCCCGCCCACAGCCCTCAGGGCGCCAGGGGCAGCCGTCGGGGGCGGGACCCCGCACTCCAGCCCTCCCACCTGCAGCTCTGGAGGGCACCAGGCTCTGGAGCCCTAAAGAGCCTTTTTCCCGCCCGTCTCCCCGCCCCCCACCCCCGGCGCTGCCAGCCCATTCGATCCATGAAGTCCTCTATCCGCGACCTTGAACCCCGACGGAAATACCCCTACCCGCTCCTGGCGCCCTTCCCCCACTCCAGGACTACCCCCTGCTGTTGCCCAGGCCCAGAGCCCGGGAGAGCCGGAGCCGAGCCCTGGGCCCAGTGGCGGTAGTGTCAGGCGCAATGCCTTTGCCAAATCCCCTGAGCCCCTTCTACCTCCTGTGAACTCTTGAGACTCTTCTCCCGCCCCAGGGACGGATCCAGGGGCCACAGCCTTCCCGGAGCCCTAGAGTGAATGCCTAAGAACCAAGGACCCACACCCCAACCCCCTCCCCACGGCGTCCAGAGCACGCGCTCCCTTCTCGTCCGGAAAAGGGGGGGGGGCTCCAGAACCCGGGAAAGCACGGTGCCCACGCCCAGAGGCTGCAGGAACTGCGTGCTAGGGGGTTGGGGGGAGGGCGGGGCACCGGAGAGCCAGGGCCCCATCGACCGGGAAGAAGACCTGGAGGAGCCTCCAGATGAGCCCAATAATAACTCCCAACCCGGCCCTCGAGGTCCGCCCTGGCTCAGGCTCTAGAAACTGGTGCCCACTCTAGCCGCTCCGGCCAGACGGTGAATCTCCTGCGGGGTGCAGGGTTAGAAGTGTGGGTGGGGAAGAATCTTACACTCAACTGACCTAAGCCCGGACTGGGCCTCCCCGTTTTGGGGTGTTGCCGGTACACTCCCGCGTGCAGACCGGGCACCCTTTTGGCCATAAAGCTCCGTGGGCATGCTGAGCTGAGCCCCGTGTCCTGTAAGGCCAGTGGGGCGACTCCAGCCGCGGCCCCTCGACAGAAGTCAGTCCCAGGCTGGGACTCCACACCGCAGCGTTGGGGACCCAGGCACCACTGGGCGCTGCCTGAGACGATGCCCCAAGGTCAGGGGGCCCGTGGCAGCCCAGATTGTAGCCTGGCCGCGACCCTTCCCCACTCACGAGCGGGTCACGATCCAGACCCTGGCGCTACACTTGCTTCTCTGCGCTCAGCCAGAGTCTCAGCTGAGTCTCCTGGCAGGGCTCTTTGACCCGGACAGGTCACCTACTGTGGGCCCTGCATTTGCTCCTGCGCACAAACTCACAGGTACAGGCATACCCGAATCGTGTGCATCCCCCAGGCCACAGCACCCCGGGCCGCACACGCAGGCACAAGCACGTGTCCACATGGCACGGGCCCGCTCACGCGCACACGGGTCCCCGGTATCCAGGCGTGGCCGAGCGCGCACACACGCACATGCAGACAGCTACTCGCTTCTACTAGCGCTCCCCAGTAATCACACACAAACAGAACTCGCACTCGCCTTCCCGCCCACACGTTCCTCGGCGGGGCCGGGTGGAAGCCGGGCGCCCTTAACTTTCTCACCACGGAACCCGCGCGGAGCCGAGGGCAGCTCCGGGGCAGGGCCTGGCAAGGGTTAGGGGTTGGGGGGGGGGAACCACGTCCTTCCCCTGGGAGGCCCTGCCCTGGAGCTTCCTCTGTGTTCTCGGTTGCGATGGAGTTGGGGGCGGTGGCGAAGAGCCGCCCGCCCGAAGTCCGGAGCTGGCACCCAGGGCTAGACATTGCCATCTAGCGGTGTGCACAGGCCTGGGCAGCGGCTGCTTGCCTCCCCAGATCTCCGGTGGGCCTGGATCGCAGAGAAACGCCCCAGAGAGGGTTGCTGTCAGAATGTCTGCGGGGGAAACCCGAGGGGTCGAGAAAGAGGGTGGGGAGGACGCGCGAGACACCATGCCTCACCCCTTGTGCTGCTGTCAGCTTCCCCTAGCAGACCCAGAGGGGAACTAAACCACCTGTCACCTCCTTGGAGACAAGATGTCCCCCGTGGAGATAAGAGGCCTCTTCTCTTCTGGGAAAGCTAAGTGGGGGAGCCGGAAGGGAGTGGGTGGGGACCCTTAGTTCTTTGGTTTTGAGCAGTGGACAGCAGAGGCAGGAAATCAACCTGAGACAGGTTGAGGTTGAGAAGGTGGCTCCTGGGTTCTAATCCTGCCCCCCCTTACACACCGGATGACTTTGGGCAAGTTAATTAATATTATCCTCATCTGTAAGAAGATACTTACATCAGTGAGATGGGGATACTAATAGTACCTGCCTTATTAGGCTTCTGTAAGGATTAAACCAGATAATCTCTATTAAAAAGCTCAGAGGGATTCCTGACTCCAGTTAACAATAAACAAGGGCTATTATGTTTTTCATATTTGGCACCTCCAGCCCCATTCCCATCTCGCTGGCCTGTGTCCTGGCCCCGGGAGGCTAACGGGGCTTTCCTTGGTGCTGGCGGACAGATCCTTCCTGCCCACCCTGCCCCTGTTTGCACCTGCCTGGGGAGGGCAGCCTCTTCATTCTGGTTGCTTCTGCTCTCCCAACTCAGAGGGTGACAACTGAAGCTCTCAAAGCTGAAAGGGGCTGTCAGAGACCCCAGAGAGGGTGGTATTTAGTCTTTGCCCTTGACTCATGTGTGACCTTGGAGATGGCAACACCCTCCCCTCCTGAGAACCAAGGATTTGGACAGGCGAACGTGAACTGCCAGGCCAGGAGGCTGGGGCTGTGTCTGCAGAGGTGAGTGAGGGGGTTTGAGGCCAGGCGTGGGGCAGGGGGTGGTCACCCTGGCATTTGCCTCCAGCCTCTGGTGCATTTTCATGCTGCAGATGCAAAGTTTAGTTGCTGGTCCCCATAGCTGCTCGGGAGGGGTCTGCGGACCGAGTCCTCTCTATTTTGCAAATGAGAAAGAGAGGGGCGGGAAGGTGAGGTGGCTGGTCTAAAGCCAGGACCCTGCTGGCCTTGGAGCCTGGGCTGCTGGGTGAGTGCTCCTTCCTCCACACCGGCTGGCTCTCCCTCTCTCTCTCTCTCACACACAGACGCTGAGTATACGACAGCACGCGGGGCTGGCGGGGCTGGGATGGGGCCCGTGTGCGTGTGTGTAATGATGCTCGTGTTGGCGGGTGTGAAGGAGGCTGGGCTGAACGGCTGCCCTGGCACAGCGCACTGGGCGTGGGCCTCGCTCACGTGTATGGGAGAGGAAGGCGGGGGAGAGATGAAGAGGAACCTGGGTGGGAGGGGGGTGCCGGCTCAGGGGAGGGGCCATGTGCTTGGTGGGGGGCCCAACCGGGGTGCCCTCGGTATGTTCTGGTGGGCCAGGGGGGCGGTGCCGTCGGGCGGGCTGCGGGCCCCCCTGCGACATTCCTCTGCCCTCTTCCCTCTGGGACACTCTGGGTCCCCTTTGGGTTCCCAGTTGGGCCTAGGGCTGGCCCCGGCCCCTTGGAAGCCATGTGTGTCTTTTCTCGGCTGACAGGCCCTCTCGGCTTCTCACTCCTCCTGGTCCTCACTCAGCCCCTGGCTGTGGATGGGCCCTACTGCCCCTGCACTGTGACCCCACCCCTCCGCCCTGGGACTGGGAGGGGGAGCTCGGGGAGGGGCTGCCGCAGTGGTACGCACCTCCCAGACCCTTCTGCATGGCGCTCTCCTCGTCCTCGGGGGTTCCCCACTCCAGGCCACCCCTGGTCATCCCAGGGGCCTTCCCCAAGGTGGTATCACCGGCCCTTACGGCCCTTTGGGCCTCCGGCTGCCAGAACCCTCAGCTCTGGGGCGGCGGCAGGACATCAAGGGCTCGTGGAACCTTGGGCGGGTTGTCTCACATCTCTGCGCCTCAGTTTCCTCACCTGGAAGTAGTGAAAAATAAAGGCTTCTGCTTCACAGACTTGTCGCGAGGAAGACATTAGTTAATATTGATAAAAAGTACAGAAAGTGTCAGACACTTAGTAGACAGTAAGTGTTAGCTGCTAATCTATATTCTTGCCTGTGTCCCCAGTGCCATCTGGGAGGATGGAGGACAGGTCCCCCTCTGATGTTTGGTTACAAAATGACTGAGGAGGTGAATGCATGAACACTTCTGGCCAGAGCTACATGCTGATTCTGGGACCACCGAAGCCCCTCCCCATCGCTTCTCTGGGCCCCGCAGGCCCTGGCCTTCTCTTGGCACCCCACACGTGCCCCAGGGCCTTTGCTCTGGCCATTGCCCCCGACTAAGCCACCTCTGCGGCTCTTCACATGGCTGCCTCCTTGCCATTGTCCAGATACCCTCCTTGGAGAGGCCTTCACTGATCACCCGGCAAGGAAGCGTCCCTGTCTGTCCTCTGACTCACCCACTGTACTGTTGCCCTGCCTTGTTTTCCTTCTAGCACTTTTTTTGTGGCTCACATGTTCGTCTGTCTGCCCTGATCAGATTGTCAGCTCCGCGAGGGTGGGGGCCGTGTGTGTCTCAATCACCTCTGTAACTCCTGCACCTGGAAGGGTGCCTGCACACAGTGGGCCCTCAGTAAGCGACGGATGGGTGAAGAAACGAGCACACGACGGGACAGAGTTCTCCAAGGCTCTGCAGGGTGATGTTCCTCTGTCACCTCGAGTTACCTCTCTAAACCACTTCACCAGCTCACCCTTTCCTCTCTCCTTCCTCCTCCAGACGCGGGCCGCCCACCGCCGCTAACCAAAATGGCGAACTTCACACCAGTCAACGGCAGCGCCGGCAACCAGTCTGTACGCTTGGTCACCTCAACGCATAACCGCTACGAGACGGTGGAGATGATATTCATTGCCACGGTGACGGGCTCGCTGAGTCTGGTGACTGTCGTGGGCAACATCCTGGTGATGCTCTCCATCAAGGTCAACAGGCAGCTGCAGACAGTCAACAACTACTTCCTCTTCAGCCTGGCGTGCGCCGATCTCATCATTGGCGCTTTCTCCATGAACCTCTACACCGTGTACATCATCAAGGGCTACTGGCCTCTGGGCGCCGTGGTCTGTGACCTGTGGCTGGCCCTGGACTATGTGGTAAGCAATGCTTCCGTCATGAACCTTCTCATTATCAGCTTCGACCGGTACTTCTGCGTCACCAAGCCCCTCACCTACCCAGCCCGGCGCACCACCAAGATGGCGGGCCTCATGATCGCCGCCGCCTGGGTCCTGTCCTTCGTGCTCTGGGCACCTGCCATCTTGTTCTGGCAGTTCGTGGTGGGCAAGCGGACGGTGCCGGACAACCAGTGCTTCATCCAGTTCCTGTCCAACCCGGCGGTGACCTTCGGCACCGCCATCGCCGCCTTCTACCTGCCCGTGGTCATCATGACGGTGCTCTACATCCACATCTCCCTGGCCAGTCGCAGCCGAGTTCACAAGCACCGGCCCGAGGGCCCCAAGGAGAAGAAGGCCAAGACTCTGGCCTTCCTCAAGAGCCCCCTGATGAAGCAGAGCATCAAGAAAGCCCCGCCCGGGGACCCGGCTCCCGAGGAGCTGCGCAACGGGAAGCTGGAGGAGGCCCCTCCCCCGGTCCTGCCGCCCCCGCCGCGCCCCGTGGCCGACAAGGACACTTCCAACGAGTCCAGCTCCGGCAGCGCCACACACCACACCAAGGAACGGCCGCCCACGGAGCTGTCGACCACGGAGGCCACCACGCCCGCCATGCCTGCCCCTCCCCTCCAGCCGCGGGCCCTCAACCCCGCCTCCAAATGGTCCAAGATCCAGATCGTGACGAAGCAGACTGGCAATGAGTGTGTGACGGCCATCGAGATCGTCCCGGCCACGCCCGCCGGCATGCGCCCGGCGGCCAACGTGGCCCGCAAGTTCGCCAGCATCGCCCGCAACCAGGTGCGCAAGAAGCGGCAGATGGCGGCCCGGGAGCGCAAGGTGACGCGGACCATCTTTGCCATTCTGCTGGCCTTCATCCTCACCTGGACGCCCTACAACGTCATGGTCCTGGTGAACACCTTCTGCCGGAGCTGCATCCCCGACACGGTGTGGTCCATCGGCTACTGGCTCTGCTACGTCAACAGCACCATCAACCCCGCCTGCTACGCCCTCTGCAATGCCACCTTTAAAAAGACCTTCAGGCACCTGCTGCTGTGCCAGTATCGGAACCTCGGCACCGCCAGGTAGGCAGGCAGGGGTGCCGAAGGAGGTGCTGGCGGTCACGTGTGCGCGCTGAGCCACGTGGGCGGTCACGTGGGTGGTCTCCCACGTGGCTGCCGGGGAGCGCTCTGGAAGCGTCCCTCCGTGTTCCTGTTCCCCGACGAGAACTGAGGTGCCCAAGACCCCTGTGAGGCTCAGGAAGAAGCTCTGGCGGGATTCAGAGAGACCAGATCTCGGCTCAGGCTGGGGAGGGTCGGCCCCAGAAGCGTCTGAACCAGGACTGTCCGGCCTGCCTCAGGGAGCTGGAGGCACTGGCTTTCTGGGGCACTGCCCCACTGTGACCAGCCAGCGTGGCTGGAAGAATGGACATCTGGAGGGGACCAGAAGCCCGAGATCCCCTTGGGAGGAGCAAAGGAGCCGAGGCTTGGGAAAGGAGGCTTGGGAAGGGAGTGGAAGGGTAGGGTCTCCCCGTTCTGCTGTAGTTGGTGCTTTCTCCCCGCCGCACCCCGCATGTAGGCCCAGCCCCTCCTCCCAGGTCCCATTCCAGGGACAGAGTTCGCCCCTTGCTGCAGCTACTCGGCTAGGCGCTGGTTGGGTGGGCGGGTGGGCTAGCTGGAGGCCAGGCTGTTGTGGGCTCTCAGGCCACCCCACCACCACCACCACACTGTCCTGGTCACAGTCAGGATGGGGCAGCTGGGAGGTCAGTGTCTCACACTCAGGAACTGAGGTCTGGCTTCCGGTGGTCCCACGCTGAGCAGAGAGGCCCCCCCCTGGTTCTGAAGAGCCCTCCCAGCAGGCTTCTGTGGCGTGTGAGGGAGGCCTGGGTCTCTGGGGAGAATGGGGGCAGACTTGACCCACACAGGCTGGGGGGGGCGGGGCCAGGGGGGAAGGCAGGCAAGCAGCCCCCACCTCTCCTCTCCTCTCCCAATGGACGGAACCTTCTCTTGGTAGTGGGCTATACCAAAAGACCTTTGCTTGAGAGTGGCTGAGATGAGGAGTGTCAGTTCCAGGGAGCCTTCTGGGCTCCCTCCCAGCCTTGGTGTGGTCCCTGGAAAGACCAGACTGAAAGGCTCAGGGGACTGGACGGGGGCACCCTTTCAGGAGTCAGTCGGGGCCCTGGAAGCGATTTTCATAACCATTCTGCTTTTTCCATGAGCTCTGGGGAGCACTCACCGCCAAGCCCCCAGCCCCCTGAAAGCCAGTCCCAACTGCCTTCCCTTTCCTTCACAGGTCTCTGCCCCAACAAATTACCACAGCAAACTCCCTGGGTTGGGGCTTTTATATATTAAAGGAAAAGCTTTTATTGGGAAGGAAAAAAAAAAAAAAACACGACGGTTTATTTATTTCTCAGTAATGGCATCTTTGTGGGGAAGAACAAAAGGGGGTACCGGGATTCAAATCCCTCTGGGGCAGGAGGCTCAAGCTGTCCACAGTCCCCTGTCCCTCCCCATGTGGGACACGTGGGGGTGGGGGGTGGAGGAATGAAAGGGAAGAAGCAGGGTATGATTGAGAAAGCTAACGAGGAGACAAAAGGCACTGGCAGGTGAGCTCTTGGGCCTGTGGGAGGGAGGGCACCGGCCCCGGGCTCCTTGGCATCCAGACCTGGCGGCTAGTCCTTTCCCTTCCCTTTCTTGGCTGTAAAACAAGCAAGAAACAACGTGTTAGCTGAGTTCAGGTGACCTAGTAGAGACGCCGCCCCACCCCTACGCCCCCCGCCCCAGCCTATACATTAGGGAGAAAATTCTGCCCCCTAGTGGCTGTAGATCAGCGGACCCCGGTACCCCGTGGGGGAGCGCAGCCATATTGATGCTGAACCTGCCCCCACACCAACTCCTATACTTTCACTGGGGCTCGGAAAATCTTCCAAGTTCTTGGTCCCCGCAGCGCTCAGCCTCCACCTCCTCCCCTAACAAGTGGGCTGATTCACTTCTGCCCTGATGGCCTCTCTGAGCGGCTGTGAATCAGGAACCAGCTAAGGGATGGCGGGACAGTTAAGTCCTTCTGATACTAGAAAGGACCCAAGCTGACCAAATGTTCCCTCTGGCTGGAGAGATGACAAAGCCAAGCCCTTCCAGGACAACTCCCGGAATCCTAAGCAAAATGCCCCAACAGAACAGAGCGAGTTTGCACTTCCACTCGGGCCAGAAGGATTTAATAACTCCTCAGCACCTTCTGTGGGCCACGCTCAGTACCTGCCCACCTAAGGTATTTCTACAGACAGGAAAAACCGAGGGCAGAGATGTCAGGAAGTCACCCGCCGCAGTCCAGAACCTCAGGCTTAACTATTCCCTTTCACAGGTGGTGGCAGCCCCCGGCAATGACCCCCACACCCTCCTCCACTTCCCTGACCTTTGGCTTTGGCTTTGGTCTTGGGGGTGCAGGGCTTGGTCACGCGGATGGTCTCCTGGCACTGGGCATTGTACCGCGCCTTCTTCAGGGTGCCTTGGCGGGCTTTGGTGCCCGTGCCCCCATCACACGCCCCCCAGCTCTCAAACTTGTACTTGCAGTCGGCTGGCGGGAGAGCGCCCCAGGTCAGATCTGGGCAGCCAGTGGTTGGAGGCCACAGACCTGCCCAGGTTTCGGCGAGGCTGGGCCCCTCCCCTCCCCTGCCCTCCGCCTGCGCCCCACCTCACCTCCAAACTCCTTCTTCCAGTTGCAAGGCACCCTGCACCGGATGCGCTGAGTCTGGGCCCCACAGGTACCCTCGCGGAAACCCACGCCGCAGTCCTTGCTGCTGGGGGTGCAGGGCCCCCAGGTCCACTCCACGCACTCGCTCCCCGGGCCGCCCTTCTTCACTTTGTCTAAGACGCACGGGGAACGGAGCTCAGACATACTCGGGGACCGCTTCCTGGGGTCCGGGCCTCGGAATCCCGGCGGCCAGGCCCAAGGCTGCCGGCCTCACCGGCCCGTCTCCAGCCCTCCTCCAGTCCCCCACACCCCATATCACCTTTCTTTTTGGCCACCGCGGAGGCGAGCGCCAGCAGGGTGAGAAGGGCGAGGAGGAGGACGCCTCGGTGCTGCATCCTGCGGGGGAGAGGTCGGGTCAGAGGCCCCCGCCCGCCCCCTTCCCCACGGGGGGCCGCACGCGCGCACCTCCCACCCCGGTCCCCACGCTCCAGGCCCACGGGCCGCGGCGGCGGCGGCGGCGGCGGCGGCGGCAGGAGGGCTCTGGGGTCGGCCCCTCGCCGCTAGTCGGGGCGCACAGCCGGAGGCGTCTCCCTGGGGGCGGCCTGGAGCCCAGGACGCAGCTCAGACCGCCACACGCCTCCGGGCCCCGGGTCGCCTGGGGGCCCAGCGGGCGAGGGGCCGAGGCCGCCGCCGCACGTCGGCCGGGGGCCCCGCGCGCTCACTCGCTCGCTGCCCGCCGTGCTGCGCTCCCTCCCGCGCCGGGCCCGTCCCGCTCCGGCCGCCGCGGCCCCTTTTGTCTCCAGAACCGGTCTGAGCCGGTCACATGGGCCCCCGCCCCCTCCCCGCCCCCCCACCCCCACCGAGGAAGGACCCGCCCCGCCCCCTCCCCTCAAACCCGCGCCGCCCCCGACCCCGGCGTCCCCGCCTTCGCTCCCGCCCTGCGCCCCCGGGCGCTTCTACCCCGGCTTCCCGCCGCGGGTCCCCGCACCCCCCCGTTCACCCCGCCCGGGCCGTCCGCGTTCAGACGACGGGCTCTGCCGGCTTCCCCCCCCCCCCCCCCCATCTTCCGAGCCCGGGGTCTCCCGGCCCCAGGCCCCTGTCCTGCCTTGGCTCCCCCGGCCCCTGCCCCAGCCCCAGCTTGCCGCCGCCGCCTCTGCCCCCTCCCCGGGGCCGTTCTCTTTCCCCGCTGGACGCCCGCCTTCCCTCCCGGGGAGGAAAGACTGGGAGGATGGGGACTTGGGAGGGAGCTCGGAGCCCCGGGGGTGTCACGGGTCCCGGCGCTCGGCGCGGGGCCCGCATTCCAGCCTGTGTGCGGCTCCGTCCCCCGATGACTGTTTAACCCCGTCGAGGACCGGCCCTCTGCGCCCCCTTAGCTGCTGGGGAAGGAGCGCCGGGCCCCACCTCGGGTCGCTTCACCAAGTGTGCAGGGAGCCGCTCTGCTCAGTGCTCGGGGAGCCCCAGAGAAAGCGCTCGGGCTCGGGGGACGCGGACGGCGCCGCGCCTTTCAGGAGCGCAGGTTTTCGGGGGCGGGAGCTGGGGGAAGTTGGGGTGTTGGGGAGCAGCCCGCAGGTCTGGATTTGGTGAGGCTTGGGAGCTGACAAGCGCCGTCTGAGAAGTTCCAGACCCAGCCAAGGCGGCGGCTGCAAATGCCCACCCCTTCCGATCCTGGGGCCTTGGGGATCACCTCACCCGATCCCCTAAACAGCAAAAGTAACTGGGGCCTAGGGGGAGAGGGCTTGCCCAAGGCCACAGGGCAAAGGGACCGAAGAATCCAGGCCTCGCCCCCCGCCCCACCTCTCTTTCACTTTCATTGTTGTCGTCCCTGCGGGAAGCGGGAAGCGAGAGGAAATCAGCTCCTCCCCCGGCCCCGCCGAGCCGTGCCGCCAGGCCGAGGTCAGGTCCCGGGCAAGCCTGAGACCCCACCCCCAAACGGGAACCAGGACCCCCCAGAAGAGGGTCTGCAGAGGCCCAGGGCGTCCAGTCCCCCCACCACCAGACCCCGCTGCTTCTGGAAGACCTCCTCCGCAAGAAAAGAAGGGCAGAAAGGAAAAAAGTCCACTTTACTGAGTCACACCCAGCTGTAAACATGTCACCACGAGAGCCCCACTCCAACCCCCAGGCCACACGGTCGGCGGTGGTGAAATGACTGGGTACACGGGGAGGGTCTCGGGGGCGTAGGCGCCAAGCAGGGCGGCGGGCAGGCAAACGCAGCAGGCTCTGTTTCCGGGAGGAAGCCCCCCCCGGGGGTGGGGGTGGGGGGTGGGGTCAGGGCAGGAGAGAGGGCCCAAGCTGTCCGCAGGCTCAGAGTGGGGCCCTCGCGGCCCAGGCGGCTTAGGAAGCCTCTTCCCAAAGGCTCCCTGATAAGGGCCCCAAGCCCCGCTGCCCTCCCCCTCTACCCCTAACCCCCAGGGAGGGCACCCGCTGCAGGGAGGGTGACGGTGGCCCTGAGGTGGTCCCGCCCCAGTCCCCCAAAGGCCTGCCCGGTCCAGTCCAGTTTCCTGTTCCCCTGTCAGGCCCGGGTCAGGCTGGGGCCTCAGGGGGACAGGTGGGATCCCCCCAGCTCCTCAGAGTCCAGCCCCAGGCCTGGGCGGCTCCACAGGCGGCAGCACGGGGCTCCTTCCCTGGGGCACGGGTCCCCCCGTGGTCATCCGACTGGAATGTGGCAGTGAGGTGGGCAATGAGGGGCTCCTCCCCTGGCTGGCCCTGTCCCTCCTGCTACACGGCTGTCTCTTGGTCCTCCCGCTGGATCATCTGGTAGTGCTGCCGGTTCTCCAAGTAGGCAGCGAGCTCCGTGTCCTGAGCCTTCTCGGCCCGCTGCCGGGGAGTGTCGCCCTGGGGGGGGGGGCTGCCATCACTTCAGGGGCCTGAGGAGAGGGCAGGGGACCTTCCCTCCAGGTGGCCAGTGAGCAAAGGAAAAGCTTCCGAGGACAGGCAGTCGTGGGCTGCCCACCCGTCCCAACAACCCCTCTCCAGCGCAGGCTCAGGTTTTTTCAGAGTCCGGAGGGTGTTGGTTGAAGGACAGCTTCCAGTCCTAAGAGGTGGCTCTCCTCCATGGCTCCGTGCTCACAAGGGCCCGCGCTGGGGAAAGGGCTGCTCTGTGGCCGCGCGGGCTCCCTGCCAGTCTGCTCACCTGCTGGTCTGTCTTCATGAGAGAGGCCCCCGCCTCCACGATGTAGTGGCAGATGGTGCGCTGGCCCAGGGCTGCGGCCTGGTGCAGACAGGTCTCCCCGCTGTGGAAACAGGGGCTGGCTGTGGACCCCCATCTTGTCCTCGGGGCCCTCTGTCCCGTCTCCAGAGGGCGGTCAGACACAGAGGGGAACACGGGGCTGTGGGGCAAGGGCCGAGCGGATGTGGCCTGTAAGGGTTTCTAGGCTCAGCCGAGTGGGAGGAGCTACACGAAGACGGGGCAGTTTCCAGGGTGCCCAAGGTCTCGCGCTGCCCAGATACTCACTTCTCCTCCACAGCGTCAAGAATCTCTGGGGGGGCTGGAGGAGAGGGGAGGGGGCGGTCAGGGAAGCCAGCCATCTCCCCCCCTCCTCCTGCCCTGGCCCCGGGGCCCCAGTGGCCGAGCTCACCGTGGTCCAGCAGGTAGCGGACCACATCCTTGCTGCCCGTGCTGACGGCATGGTGCAGGAGCGTGCGGCTCTGCTCGTCCCGGTGCATGAGGTCACCCCCAGCTCGGTGCAGCTCCTGGAGCTGAGGGCAGGAGGCAGAGCAGGGCTGGGGCTCCTCACGGCCACCCGCCTGCCAGCCACAGAAATGTCCCCCAACTCCCATAGGCCCCAGGCCTGACACTACCGTGCTCACACACGTCATCCCTCTGGGTGTCTTTCTGAAGTGCAGGGGAGAGACCCGGGGCTTCTAGACTCCCCGGGAGCACTGAGCACCAGGCCCTGGGGCCTGTGGTTCCTCTTAAGACTTGCTCCTCTCTGAGCACCGGGGACAGGCAGACTGTGCTAGCAAGCCCCTACGAAGGGACACTGTGAGCTGGACAGGGGCAAGGCGGAATGGGACAATCAGCACGGAGACCCTGCAGAGGGCCAGACGATGACAGGCTAACTGGGCCCCACCCAGAGGCCCTGCCCCCCAGGGCGGCGGGGTGGGGGGCCCGAGCCCTCCTAGTACCTTACAGAAGTTGTTCCTCTTGGCAGCCTCAATCAGCTCCTCACCTGCACGGAACACCTGCCCGTTATACCCTGGGCCGCAGACATGCTGGGCGGAGGCGTGGGCCTGCCCGGGCGCAGGCCCTGGCTGTGGGGGGCTGTGGGAACTCCACCCCCACCCCCACCCCCACCCCCACCGGGGACCAGGGAGAAAGGAGAGGCCTCACCTTTAGGGGGCGCCGCATCCCCTGGCAGTGACCTGCAAGCAGAGCAGGATGAAATGGACCCAGCGACAGCTGTCACCCCCCCCGCCCCAACCAGGGGGCGCCCTGTGTTCTGTCAACAGTTTATTGAGTGCCTCCTACACAGCAGGTGCCGCGCCGGTGGGGGGGGCTGGCGACACAGCAGTGAACAAGACACACGGAGAGCTTGTTCTCACGGAGCTTACATTCTAGTCAGGGAGACACACGTCAACAAAGAAAGAAGGCCTCCTTGGAGCGGGAAGGGCTACGAAGAACACAAGGCGGCGTGCTGTGATCTCACAGCAACGGCAGCCGGGGCTCCTGGGAAGACTTCTCTGGGGAGGAAACTCCCAAGCTGAGGGGTGAGCGGCGCGCGGGGCTCGGGGAGGACTGGGGACCGTCCTGAGGCGGGCACACTGGAGGCCGCGAAGGGCCGGGAAGGGCACGGCGCTGGGCAGTGCGGATGGAGGGGAGCTCGGGGGCCCCGGCTCAGGCTGCCGAGCTCGGATGTTGGGGGACAGCAGACAGGACTGCAGAAGAGAAGTCAGAGGGGGAGCCCAGGTCTCCGGCCAGCGCAGCAGGGTGGATGGCGACGCCACTGCCCCGGGGCGGCGGCGGCAAAAGGGCTGCTCAGCTGGGCTTCGGCCAGGGCTGGTTCTCTGCCAGTGACTCAGCCGGGGGGGGGGGGGGCCGGTGGGGGCCAGGCAGCCAGCTGGACAGTGGACATGTGTCTGACGCTGAAGGCAGGACGGCAGGAGGTACCGGCTTATAGGTGGGGTTTCGAGCCAGGGGGCTGGAGGAGATGCGGGACTCACCGGAGCGTGGGTGAGCAGGGGGAGGTGGGGAGAGGGGAAGTGGGGGTTGGGAGGTCAGGCCGGGCCGATGCCCCCAGCAGCTCAGGGTCCAAGATATAAATCTCGTCCTGTGCGATCTCAGTTACATAGTTGAGGTGTTCCTGTGGGTGGGGAGGTCGGGGCAAAGAGTCAGGACCTTCCAGGGTAGCCGACGGCGGCAGTACAGATGCAGCCAGGCCAGGGGGCCCGGAGAAGCCTCCGGCAGGCGGAAGCTCCATGACGGGCCCTGCCAGTCTCCCTCCCCGCTGCCTTCCCAGCTCCTTCCCACTGCTGAGCCCTTGCCAGGGGCACCTAGCACCTGGCCAGAAGTGCCTTCACCTCTGTAGCTCACGGGCCCCTTTTCTGAGCACGCCAGCTCCCTCTGCCTGTGGGCAGCGTGCCTACACCCTATCTGTGAGCATGAACAGGTGTGCAGGCACCACCCAGCAGGCCGAGGGGCAAGCCCGTCTGTGGAGGTGCGGGCAAAGGCAGAGGGGCCCCGGGGTGGCCCGGAGGGACTGCGAGTGCTCACCTGGGCCCGGTCGATCCTGTAGAAGCGGCTGGCAGTGGTGGCTGTGAGGGGGGCAGAGAGCTGTCTGAGGTGGCAGGAGGCCCTTATCCAGGCCCAGATAGTCGCTGCCCCACCGGGAGCCCTGCGGGAGGGGGCAGGACACAGCCCGGGACCCGTCAGGTGCTGGTCCTTCGGGGCCACTCACCGTCTAGGAAGCACCACTTAGGGGACAGTTTCTGGGAGGTGGGGGACTTGGCTCCAGCACCTTCGGGCTCCTGCCAAGAGAAGCGAAGGCCGAAAGTTGGCAGAGAACAGAAACTAGAGCGGGTGGGCCCACACGGGGCAGGCTCCCGACCCCCTCACCTGCTGGAGCCTCTCGATGTGGGCGCGGCAGAGCTCCAGGTCACTGTCTCCGGGGACCACCACGGTGCCCAGTGGCACGGCTGGTGGGCAGAGCAGGCTGTCAGCGGCTGGACGTACTCCCCTGCCTGGCCCTCAAGGGCCCCCCAGCAGCTCCTTGCCACCCAACCGCCACCCCTCCCCCCCTTGCCACTCACAGGCCTCCTTGAGCTGCTCCTTATCGTAGTGCAGGGCCTCGTAGTCATGCATGCTGACCCTGCTCACCTGGATCCGCAGCTGCTCAGGCACGGGCTGCTGGCTGGGGCACAGGCAGTAGGAGAGCACTCGGGAAGGGTCCTCGGCCAGGTGCCAGACCAAGGGGCACCTTCCCGGGACAGAGCAACTGGTAGCCCCGTCTCCAGCTGGGGAAACTGAGGCTCGAGAGAGGGGCAGCGTCTGGTGGTGGCTGGGAGGGGAACATACTCGCTGTGCAGGGGGGCGGTGCTCCGCCGCTTGGCCTTCTGCACCATAGTGGCCTGGTTGCGCAGGGCGATGCGAATGCGCGAGGCCGCGAGCTTGCAGGGCTCACCATCCACCTGCACTGGGATGGCCTTGGACGTGGTGAGTACCACCTCACGGCACTGTGTCAACCGCTCGCCGTGCCCGCCCACCTGCAGCGCCGCCTGTGGGCGCAAGAGGCTCAGGTCAGGAGCCGAGACTGGGGTAGTGGGGCCCGAAGCTCCGTTCCGCGCACGAATGCTCTGGCCAGGGAACAGAGCAACAACAATGCCGCAGAGAGCAGAGGGAGGCTGGGACCCCAGTCGGGGTTGGGGGGGAGAACGAGACCCTAGTCAGAGAAGGGAGGGGGAACCCCGGCCAGGGAGATGAGCATGAATTCTCCCATCTTGGCCAGTGAAGGGGAGTTTGGTGACCTCCCCCCCACTTCCATCTCAGGACAGTGCTCCTGGTCGCTGTGGGGACAGAGCCAGGGCTCCAGGCAGGCCCCACGTGGGCCCACTCACCAGGGACGTCATGGTGAAGCCAATGACCTCGAGGTAGCCGTCGTCGTGCCGCTGGGGCTCAAAGTCGTGGTGCTCCCCAGGGTGGCCCCAGGGCATGGTGCCCGCGCAGTACCTGAAGGGGAAGGCAACACAAGGGCTTTCAGAGGACAGGCATGCAGGACGCAGACATCAGGGCACACGCGGAGCCCTCCCCTCCTCACCTGGGGATGTTCAGGAAAACAATGCACTGGGGTTTCAGGTCCTGAATCTTGGGGGTCAGGTCAGTCCCGTCACACTGCAGGCAGGAACAGGGGAGGGTGCAGGGCATATACGGTGCCAAGGCGGCCTCCATCCCCGCTGGGCCCACCCACCTTGCCCGCCTGCTTGGCCCACTTACCACCACTCGGATGTGCTTGGCCAAGTCCTTAGAGCTGCCCATCAGGAAGTCAGAGAAGGCTGTCTGTGGGCGAGAGAGGGCGTCACCATCTGGCGACAGGGACTTCTCACCACTGCCCGACAGGGGTCCTGTGGCCTGGCAGATACAGGTATGCAGGGGGCACAGGCGGTAGAACAGTGGGCATGGCAGGGCAGGGGCGGGGGGGGGGGGAGCGGGGGGCCCTGTTGCTGGCAGATCCCAGACTCACCCCGGCATAGAACATCTTATTCCTAAAGCGACTGTTGAATTTCTCTGGGTTGGCCTCTGGGGGGCGACAAGAACCGGGACAGTCAGTCATTCTGAACCTGCTGGGGCTTCCCAGGCTGGGGTGGGGAACGAGGGCTGAGAACTGCCAGGGGCAAGTTCTGACCCTCTCGGGACCCTCCTGTGTCCTCCCCTCCCCAGCCTCCAGCCTCAGCAAGTGGTTGCCCACCTCGAGACTCATGGAACTCCAGGGTGACGTGGGCATCAAAGCCCAGGCTGAAGTAGTTGTTGAAGACATCCAGGGGCAGCTGGAAAAAGGTCAAGGGCCCAGCATGAGGGCTGGGCCACACAGCCACCTCCCTCCTCTGGCCTGCTCTGGCCACCAGGCTGGCCTGGCCCACGCAGTTCTGGAAGCCTTTCCCACAGTTAACAGGATCCTCCAGGAAGCTCTTCCCTCTAGCCCGCAGCCTGCTTCCAGGTCTGCCCTCTCGGCTCCTAGCTCCTGTGGGGCTGCTCCAAGTGCCCCGTATACCGAACACCCTGGGCCCTGCTGGCACGCTCTTCCCTGGCTTTCCAGTCCCCCCACCCCCGACACTTCGTCCACAAGTGCCGTATTCTGTAGGGGCTCCGTGAGAACAGGGACTTTGTTTCGTTGCTGCTTAAAATGATGCCTGGCATGTGGTGGATATTCAGTAAATATTTGCCCAGCAGCTAGCTTACGGGGTACCGTTATTACCATCGTACAGGAGAGGCCAAAAGTCTGGAGAAATGACGAGATTTGTCCCAAGCCCCAGAATCGGCAAGTGGGACAGAGGGCTTCCCCCATCGAGGCCCTGGCCGACCTACCCGGTCAGTGGCGCCGTCATCACGCTCCTCTGGCCCCGCGTCGGGGTTGGGCTCAGCACGGAGGTCCCAGCGGTCTAGCTGCACCACATTCCCCTCCTCCACGTGGGAGAGGATCTTGGACACAGGCTCATCCGTGTAGCCCTGGGGGAACAAGGCAGGAACTGAGCCTCTCTTGGGGAGAGGCCCCCCGCCAGCAGCACAGCCCACCCCCGCCTCTGGGCTCTTACCCCACCCCAGTTGAGGGTACGGGCCAAGTCATTGCCAGTGCCCAGGGGCAGAATGGCAACAGGGGGTGGTGGCTTTAAGCGCAGCTGGTCCAGAGTGGAGAGGATCCAGCCAACCTGGAGGGGCAGAGCAGAAGAGGCCAGGTCAGACCAGAGGGGCCCCAGACTCGGGCCCCCTGCTGGAGAGGCAGGAGACTCACCGTGCCGTCGCCTCCACACGCCAGGATCCGCAGGTTGTGCACTTTGCGGTACATCTCCAGCCTAGAGTCAGAGGACAGGAACAGGGCCAGGGGATGTGCGCCTCACCCTCTGTGCCAGGCAAGCCCTCCCCACCATCTCCACAGAGCCGTGGCAAGTACTTACGCCTCCTTGGGCCCTCCCTGGCTCAGGTCAAAGACTTGTCGGGGGTTGAGATACCACAGGAAGGACTGGATGATCTTAGCGCCCTGTAGGGGGGACCAGGGTAGTAGGTCAGGGCTGGTGGACTGAGGTGGGGAGAAGCATGTGAGAAGGAGGAAGGACGTGGCTGTGGGAACCAGGCCCAGCAAGGGGCGAGGGGTGGAGACAGGCTCCAATTTCCTCAGGATCTCTGGGCAAGAGGGATGGGGCAGGAGCCTGCAATGGAACTTGGGAGCATTTGCTGGGGAGGGAAGGGGTGCAGAGCTTGACCCCGCTCCTCCCGCGGAGGCTTTCAATGGAGAGAGGAGGCTGTGCGTACCTGGTTGCCCCCACTCTTGGGGTTCACAAACACCAGCAGGGGCTTCATGAGGGGCGACGGGGTGGGCCTGATGATGAAGGGTCTCCAGCGGCCCTCCTTGGAGACAGAGAGACTCTAAGGCTCTACCCTGGCTTGACAGACCTCACCCCCGTTCTTGGCGGTGCCCCGTCATGTTCCGCCTCCAGGGCAGACCTTAAGGTGGGCCTGGCCACAGAGACGCAACTCGGATCTGGCCTTCCACCTTCCTCAGGGGCCCAGGGAGCTCAGTACTTCAAGAAACAGGCCCCTCTTTCCTGTTCCCCTCCAGGTGCCCACCCAGCCCCAGGACTAACCTCTGGCCCTTTCTTGCTAGATTTCCTCTTGAAGGATGCTCTCTTTTTCTTCTTGCTTGCCTTGAGGGTATTCTGCAAGGGAAGCAGGGGCATTGGCGACAAGGCAGGTGGGCTGGGGCGGCTGGCAGAGCCCACGTGTGGGGGATGGCGTCATGGGTGCAGGCAGGACTCACCTGTGGCCTGCGGGCGCGGAGGATCCAGGTGGGCGGGATGACCACAGCAGCGTGCACGCCCAGGGAGCACGGCTCCTCTATCTGTTGCAGCATGAAGCAGGACACCTTGCTGTGGTACTGGGGGGGGGGGGGGGCACAGCTGAGCTGGGCCTGAGCTGAGCCCTGGGAGCCCCCCTCCCAGGGCCACTCAGGGGACAGCCTCCGGGGGGCTGGGGCGAGCACCACTTACTGCCTGCTTGCACCAGGAGCAACTGATGGCCACAATCTCCTTGCTGTGGAAGGTGAACTTCTGCTGGAAGCCCTAGGGTGGGGAGGGTGGTTGGGGCACCAGCGGCCAGGCCCAGAGCAGCAGGCCCAGCCCCTCTTCCGTGGCCAACCTCTCTCCACCCAGGGAAATTGAGCCCATTTTTAAAAATTAAAACAACAAATAGGCCCCTGGGAGCAGGGAGGCCTGCTATTCTCTGAAGTCACCCGCAAGGCGCTGGGTGCACACACCCGATCTGTTAGAAGGGGTCACAGCTAACTCCTGCCAGTGGAGATCCCCTCCTTCCTGACCCCAGACTCCGAAGCCCCCCGGTACATGCTCAGAGTGCTTCACACTTCTTCATGACACCTGTCACATTCATTCCCTTGTTCATTCCACAGACATTTACTGAGGGCCTGCTGTGTGCCGGACCCCGTGCTCGGCACTGAAAGTGAGCAGAGGAAAGAGGGACGAGGCCCCGAGACCTTCTAGATAGAGCCTGCGCTTACTGAGGGAAACAGAGCAGAAGCAGATAAGGAGTAAGTGGCCGCCACACTGTGGACTGTGCCCAGGAAGACTGCCCGCAGAGTCTGTCTTCAAGCCACATCCTCCTCCAGGAAAGCAGGGACCTCACTACCCAGCTCGGGGCTCAGCACCCAACAGGGGCTCAACAAATACTGTGCTCAGTTACCAAATGAGTACGTCTATACAATTCTCAGAGGGCTCCCGCACGGCTTCAAGGTGGTCCAGATACACCGCTCTAGAAGCTCACTTTCTTCCCTGCTCTCCCACTCTGTCCAGAGACCTGGGTGTTTTGGGACTGACGGGGCACCTCAGCCGGGTTGGGAGGGAGCCCTAGGACTCTGCACTCAGGAGACACCGTCAGCCACGGGCAGCTCACACTGGACTCATGGCCCGAGGCTCGGGGGCCGCAGGGTCCAGGTCCGGCGGGGAGTAGGCTGGCCCACCTCCCGGGGCAGAGCCTCACCTTCCCACAGTGGCGACACTTGCCATCCTGGCGTCGCCGGTGTACCCAGTGGTGCCGCACAAAGGTTGGCTGGTGGAGGAAGAGAGAGTATCACTAGAGTGAGGGGTGGAGAGGCGCGAGCCCTGAGTGTGGCCTGCACCCCTCAATATATTAACGTGAGGCATGGGGCTGCAGGAAGCTCTCTGCAGAAGCCGGTGTGAGGTGAGATGGGCTGGAGGCTTCTCTCCATGGCCTCCAGGTGGGGGCCAAGGCTCCGGCTGGGGGAGAAGAGCAAGGAGGCAAGAGAGGCAGGCGGTGCCTCCCCGCCCCGCCCTGCAGCCAGGGCCCTGCCCATCGAGGCCCTCTCCGAGCCTCAGCCCTGCACCTCTCTGCAGCCCAGAGCAGCCTCAAAGGGGCACCCTGGAGACACTGCGGAGAAGTCCCCTCAGGAAACCTGGGGCCTCCTCACCCATAACTACCCTGGGCACTTACCTCACGGATGTTCCTGGAGCCTGATTCGCGGAAGGACGGCTTACAGCGGAAATTTATCTGTGAAGCATTGCAATGACCACCCAGATGTCAGAGCCTCCCTTCAGGGGCTCAGGCACCTAGCCACCTTCTCCAGCAAAGTGTCACTCAGGGTCAACCTCACAAGGCAGGGATAGCCCCAAATCATGCTGGGAGCTCTCAGAATGTAAGACCTCTCCTCTCCACTAGCCAGAAGGACCCTTTCCTTCCTCTGTCAGCCCGCTGGGATAGGGGACACTGGGAGTGTCCACCTCCCCCACTAAAAGGCAGCATACTGTACTCCCCCCAGATTTTCCCTCACCCTCCGAGGCGCGTGCAGGCGCCCTAATCCTTGCTGGCAGACCTGTGCTGGCCGGTCCCTGGAGACCATTAGCTCGTCTGTGGAAACTGGTTTGGTCTCCACCTCGGGCTCTGGAACGCCTGGAGCTAGGTTTGTTTCTCTTTTCCCAACCGTCCCTGCTTCAGCCTCAGCACAGCTGCGGGGAAACCCCGCTCTAGGAGTCAGGGGCTGGGGCAAGCGGCCCATGTTAGCCTCGTCCGTGCTGGTCCGAGTCCTACAGGTTTTCCCGTGTGCTGACTGGGGTTTCTGCTGCCTGGGGAGCCCTCCCACCCTCTGCCCGGACCTGCCTCCCCAGTGTTCCCTCTACTTCCCTTTGGAAGCACGGGGCCCAGACAGGCCACCAGCTGTTGATGCACTGCGGACAGCTGTCCTTAGGGAAGGGTCTCTAGGGCAGGAGCGTGTAGTGGACAGGGCCAAGCTTCGGCAAGACAACGGCCCCTTCTAAATGTGGACTTTGGTGTGGGTAAAATGGTGTCTCGGCCGTCACTCACTCATTCATCCCACTAATAGTCAGTGAGCCCCACTCTGTGCCAGGCTTGTTCTGGGCAGTGGGGGTAGGATAGATAAAAAGGGGGGAGACAGGATTCAAATGCAGGCATTTCAGCTCCAGGGTCTTTGGCTCTACACCACCACGCAGGCTGGGACGCTCTTGGCAGGTGAGGCGTGTAACATGAATATGCGTGCAGAGACACACATCTGTGTGTACTAAGATGCCTTCGGCACCCAAAGGGGAGGGGCGGAAAAGGCTGAGCACCCATCCTCACCTTCTCCAGCTGTTCGATGCAGGGGGTGTGCACCACGATCTTGCAGGCTGCACACTTTCTCCGGGACACTGATTTCTGCTGCAGAAAACGAAGAGAGGGCCCTGAGGCACCAGGTAACTTCATCCAGGATGCTGCCCCAGGGCAGGAAGAGAAATCCTTACATGTGCCCCGGCACAGCTGCCCTCTGTGTTCACTGGGAATTCCCAGTCCTGGCATCAGAACACAGCCCCCATTCCTCCTGCTGTCCTCAGGCAGCCCTCAGCAGGGGCGCTCAGGGGAGTGTCTTGTTCCCACCTTCCCTGGGAAGGGCTACAGCTGTCAGGCCGGCAGAAGTACGCCTACAGGCTTCTAGACCCGCTCCACCAGCAGGGGGCAGCATGCCACCCAGGGCTCACTCACCAGCATCTTAGCTACACAGTACTGCTCCCCAACATAGCAGAAGTCCCCCGACACGTTGGTCTCGAACCAGATGTGTTCCCCATACGTCGCGGACTCCTAGACCACGAGATGAGCGTGCTCAGCGCAAACCTGCCACCCGACCCATCAGTCAGTCCCTGCCCTGCCCTACAGACTCACCTCTCTCCCAAGACAAACCTGCTCCAGCTACCGCAATCTACTCTGCTCCATCCTGTTTCCCCACTGTCCCTACTCTTTTTTTTTTTTCTTGAAGATTTAAAAAAGTTTTTTTTAAGTAATCTCTACACCCAACATGGAGCTCAAACTTACATCCCCCGAGATCTGGAGCCGCAAGTTCCACCACCTGAGCCTGCCGGGCGCTCCTCCCACTATCCCTGCTCTTGAGGGCTTGGCTCAAACGTGGCCACCCCAGCAGGTCTGCCCTGATCCCAAAGGCCCATGGACTCCTCCCGCAGCTGCCCCCCACACTTCCCTCCACCTCCAGCTGCTGCCCTGGTACCCACCTGTCCCTCCCTCCCAGCACCCTGCCACTCACGCTCCAGTCCACAGTGCTCCGGATCTGCCGCTCTGGCTCGCTGCACAGGGCCCCGGGAGTGGGAGGAGGGGGTGCCAAGTGCTGGAGCCCCGACTTGGTGATGGCTTTCCTGCAGAAAAGGAGATCGCTGAGGCCAGCTGAACACCTGGTGACTCTGCTTCCTTCCCCCCCTTACCTGGGATCTCTGCCCTCACTGTGACTTCAACCCCTGGACAAGACAGGGACCACAGTGAGGAGGGTAGGGGATGCCCCACAGCAGCCTAGGGCTCTGGGAGGTTCCCTGCAGGAGACTTAGCCCTCCTCACAGCCCTTGTGGGGTGCGCTGGCTTCCAGGCACTGTCCAGAGCTATTCCCAAGAGGGGCGGAGGGGTGGGGGTGGGCCACAGGCCAGGCAGAGCCTGGAGGTCCTTCCCCCCAGGCCAGCCCCCTTGCCCTGCCGGCCGCAGCTATACCTACGCAAGCAGGGCACTCCAGGTCTGGGGTCCTGCCGACTTGCGCCGTAGGGCCACCTGGCGCCTGCGGGACAGCGGGCGCACACGGGTGGGCATCAGAGCACCAGCTGCAGTGCCTGAGGCTCTTCGGGCCCCAGGGCCAGGGTGCTGGCCGGGGGGCCGCTGCTGGCTGAGGCGCCGATAGTAACCGTGCAGGCCCCAGAGGGCGTGGTCATACACCACGTCCGCAGGGAGCAGGGGGGTGGAGGGCCGGTGCCGGCGCAGGCAGCGAAGCATGGGCACGAGGGTGCCCCGGTGTGAGGAGGACCCCGGTCTCTTGGCTCCCGGCTGCGTGGCCCTCAATGCCGCAGCGGCCACATCCTCCTCGGGCACGCCTATGATCTCAGCCAACAGCAGGGGTGTGCCCAGAGGCTGCGCCTCGACCGCGGCAGGCTGTGGGGCAAGCACCTCATCCACGACGAAGCGGGGGCTGCAGGCAGGGGGCACGGTGCTGGAGCGCCGGCGGCTGGTGCCCCGGGCCCCCACCCCGCAGCTCAGGAGGCAGCCCTGGAGCTGTGCGCTGGAGCGGCGCCGCTGCACCAGCGAGGAGGAGGCCTGCCCGGCAGGGGAGCGGCGTCGGGCCTTGCCTGTGGGCAGCCCCACGCCACTGGGCCGCCGCTGCCCCTCCCCGGGGCCCGGCGCCTTCCACTGGAAGCGTCTCCTAAAGAAGGTCTCCATGGCAGGGCCAGGTGGATGGCTGTTGGGCAGAGACCGGGAGCATCAGGAGCTGGGCCAGGCTACAGCCCACCCTGCGCCCAGGAGCCCAGTCACAGCCTCTGCCCTTTGAGCAGAGGAGGGACACAGGGGGGGAAGGGGGAGGGCCCACGGCCTCCGACCTCCATAAACACGGTGTTTGAGGGTACCACAGAGTCCTCAGGAGAGCCCACATTTACCACTGCCAGAAGCACTAACACCCCTGTCCCCCCCAGTTATACCCTATGTTGCCCCAGGAATAACGGGTACAAGGGGCTTCCAGCCAGCCATGCGGCTCCCCTGTCCAAGCACCATGAACCACAAAGCCCTGGCCTTTGACTCCCTCGCCTGAAGCTGATGGAAAAGAAACAAAGGAAGCCGGAAGCCCGCAGTCCTGGGTTCTTGGTTGCAGCTGGCCTCTACAGACGGAGGGGCCAAGGATAAGCCTTTTCTTTGCCCCTCATTGGGCCTTTGTTTGGCTACCGACTCAGGGCAGCTTAGGTTTAGGTGCCCCTCCTGGGCAACGGCACAAACTAAGCTATGATCATAAAACGAGGCTCTCTGGAAAGAAATTCCATCCGGATGAGAGCCCCAGATTCTCTCAGCCCCACTCATGGGGTCAGGCTGAGGGTGGCACTAGAAATGGAGCCGCTCTGACTTAGGGATCAAAGGGCCCTGGGGACCAAGGCCCTCAGGACTGGAGGAGAGCCGCACAGGGGGAGAGCCACCCTAGGCCTCACGCAGGGGCACTTTGTATGGGGAGCAACAAGAGGCCTGAACCAAGAGAAAAGCCTTCCAGGAACGTTCCGGGTGTGCATCTCTATCTCTGAGTCGCTAAAAGAAAGAACTTTCCTGTACTGAACTGCTCTGTCTTATTACCCTTCTGCAGAGGCCGAGTATGGATCAAAAGAAAGAACTTTCCTGTACTGAACTGCTCTGTCTTATTACCCTTCTGCAGAGGCCGAGTATGGATCTCCCATGTGTGAAAGTACTGGCTGACGGCTGATGTCTGAAAACCCTTCCGGCCCTGCTGCCAAGGGAGCCTGTGAACTGCACTTTGTCTGAGGGGCCAACGCTGGAAACTCCAACTCTCCACCCCAGAGTTCCCTCCTGCAGGGAGGCAGAACCCACTGGGACCATCCTTCCTCAAACCATCCTCCCTTGACCTGGGCTGAACACGGGCCCAGCTTCCTTCGCCAGCTCGCCTGCTCCTGGCTGCCCCTCCTTCACAGGCTGCTGGGATTACTGCACCCTCACTTCTTCCGAAGGTGGGGGAAGGGCAGGAAGCCTGGTAGGCTTGGGGGCCGGGAGGGGAATGCCTCCAGAATGCCCAGGGATGCCTGTGCCCCACCATCAGGTGACCTCCTGGACCCTGGCAGCCACAGAGAGGTCCGAGCCACAGCCATGGGACATCTGCCCGGGGCCGACAAGAGAAACCCGTCCGCCTGCTGAGGGCCTGGCAGAAGTCAGGCGTGGTGGTAGCTGGGAGCCTTGGACAAATGATGGCGGGTGCTAGGCTTGAGGCCTCAGGCCCGGGCTGCGTGTCTACTGTCTGTTTCTCCCACCACCCGCTCACCCACTCTTTAATCCGCGATGACCCTGGGAGTCCGGGCAAGCAACGCAGGCCCTGGAAGGGTGCGGGGGTGTTCAGGGAGAGGCACATGGGGCCAAGGTGTCCAAGCTCCTGTGATCAGCAACGGAGGCAGTGTGCCGGGGTAAGCAGTGCTCGAGACTGCCTGTTATAGTCCCCGGCCTCTGCAGGGGACAGGGAGAAGGGCAGGAGGTAAGCTCTGCGGGTAGGAGAACGGGCATGGACAGAGAGCTCTCGGCTTCCTACTAAAATCAATAGCATCATAGCTAACGTTTTTTGAGTGCTCACCATGTGCCAGGCACTCTGCTAAGCCCTTTACAAACACACATATCATTTTATAAACCAGAGCAATGTGGAAGAATAGGTACTGCATCCTGCCATGTTCCTGATGGGAAACCGAGGCACAAGGAGGCAACTTGCCCGGAAGTCCACAGCAAGTCAATGGGGAGCCAGTGATGGAATCCAAGGCTGCGTGAAGGCAAAGCCTGTGTTCCAGGAGCCACAGTGGAGAGTAGGGTCTTTCCTTCTGGGCCACGGGGCTGGGACTGAGGGGGAATGGCACAGGGAGGGGAACCCTAATAAAAGCAACAACGGCCCCATTGACTAAACACCTACAATGGGACAGGCCCCGAGCTAAGTACTTTCATTTATCATCTCACTTGATCCCCACAATTCCACGAGGCGGGCAGGGTCAGCAGCTCCGTTACAGAAAGGAGGCCTGAACAGGTGCAGTACGTGCCCCAGGTCACAAGGCCGGTCAGTGGCAGAACCGCGACCCGAACTCAGGGCTGCCTGACTCTGGTCTGCTCGGCACCCAGGAAGAGAAGCCCGAAGGCCCGGCTGCCTGCTGCTGCCCGGGCGCTGGCTTGTCACACTCCCCCGGGGTGTCGGCTTTCCCCGCCCGTCTGGTCAGGCCGCCCTGTGACAGCTGCCTGGCCTGGAGGAGATTAGTCACCGGGACACACCGCCTGATGCTAGTGTCACCCAGAAAACAAAAGGCCACAGTCAGTAGGGGGGAGGTGCTGCGGGCACTCTGTGAGCAGCGATGAGGCCTGGGCCCTGCCGGCTGCCCCAGACCCACACTGACAAGAGAGGCCCGGAGGCAGGGGCCCCCACCATGCTGCGGCCCACACACTGCTGGGCAGCCCCAAGTCCAACCGTCCAGGAGTCGCTTCGGTGGCCTGGCGGCACAGTCACCGCGAGTGGGGCGCAAGGCGGGCTAGGCCAGGCTGGTGGCAGGTGACCATGTGCAAAGCTGTCCCCACATGGGCCTCAGTTTCCTTGTTTGCCCATGGAGGCTGCGAGACTGAATTGATATTTTATGGCAAGTTGTCCTGCAAGGCCCCCATGCCTCTATGTTCCCAATGTCCCCTTCCCCCAGGCCCCACACTTCCTGCTCCTCTGGTCTCCAGAGAAACCTCTGTCCTCTGGTTCCAGACTTCCTATCTCTGCCGGGGCTTCTCCTGGGTCCAGTTGGAAGCCCCCCGGCGGGCCTCGGACCCCAGCCTCTCCCCACTGTGCAGCCCCAAGCGGCAGTATCTTCTCACCACTCTGCTCTGCCATCTGCAGCAAACCACGTGCTACGTGCAAAGGTCACTGGAGGAGGCCCCACAGGGTTCTGACACCAACAGCAGAGCAAAATGGCTACCCCTCAGCCCTCTCGGGGTTGAGAGGGCATCCCTTACAGCATGGGCGGATACCCCCAGGGGACTCTGGCTGCCAGGCTCTTTTTTTTTTTTTTTTTAAGATTTTATTTATTTGAGAGAGAGAGAATGAGAGATAGTACAAGAGGGAAGAGGGTCAGAGGGAGAAGCAGACTCCCTGCTGAGCAGGGAGCCCGATATGTGGGACTCGATCCCGGGACTCCAGGATCATGACCTGAGCCGAAGGCAGTCGCTTAACCAACTGAGCCACCCAGGCGCCCCAGGCTCCATTCTTCATGTGGTGGGTGGTGGCCACCCCGGGTTCTCCTGCTGGCTGGACAGGGACCTCCAGCTGGCTGTCGAGAGCCCAAGGAGGACAAAGGATGCCATAGGAGAGGCACACATGGCGGTACCGGGCCCCGTGCCCTCGAGGAACACCAGGGCGTATGGCTACGGGCTGCTGCCAGGGCTGAGCCAGCATGAGCGCCCCAGCTCTGCTGGCTACAGGCTAGAAAGAACCAGACTCCTGGCCTCCCAGGCCAGACCATCTCATCCCCTATGTTAGTTTCAAGTGGAAAAGCCCAAGGGCCTTGGAATCCTGCATCTGCCATTGCTTTCCTGGGTGTAGATCGACTAACCTTTTTGATCCTCAACTTTCTCCTCTGCAAAATGGGGATGATACCATCTAGTTCAGAAGGTTGGCCTAAGGGAGGTTCTGATAAAGCACCTGGTGATACCAGGCAGAGGGGAAGGGCATGGCAGGGCCTACACCCGCAGCAGACACAGGGGTATGTGGATCGTGCCATCTCCTGGGGTTTGTCTCTGCCCGTGGCAGGAGCGGGAACCCAGAAAGAGAAGCAGGAGAACCCGGGGTGGCCACCACCCACCACATGAAGAATGGAGCCTGGGGCGCCTGGGTGGCTCAGTTGGTTAAGCGACTGCCTTCGGCTCAGGTCATGATCCTGGAGTCCCGGGATCGAGTCCCACATATCGGGCTCCCTGCTCAGCAGGGAGTCTGCTTCTCCCTCTGACCCTCTTCCCTCTCGTGCTATCTCTTATTCTCTCTCTCTCAAATAAATAAATAAAATCTTTAAAAAAAAAAAAATAGAGCCTGGCAGCCAGAGTCCCCTGGGGGTTTCCGCCCATGCTGTAAGGGATGCCCTCTGCCCCTCATACCAGGCCTGGTGCCCCGAGGTGCTGGCACCCCTGTGGGATGCAGCCAGGGTTCCCATTCCCGGCTGTGAGCAGGGCCCCACGTGCCCCTCTCCTCAGGGAAGGCTGGGAATAGTGCACAGTGGCCCCATTTCCAGCAGCCCCAGAGCAAGGGCCTGGCGCGCCCTCCCTAGGGGGATACCGGTCAGAAGCCACCTCTGGTGCTCTGCTCTCACAGCTCAAAGGTCAGAGGGAAGGAGGTGGGGACAGCTGGAAGGAGGCCTGCCTTGGGGCTGGTGAGACAGGGTCCCCCTCTCCCAAGGTCTTTACTTGCTAAGAGGAACCTGCCCAAAACAAAACAAAACAAAACAAAACAAATGTGCAGCGGGGAGCAGGTGGCCAGAGCTGCATAGGAAACTCAGCCAGCAGGCCAGTAATGTTTACCTCCATGGGGCCTCGTGGGGGCAGGCACCTAGCCCACCCTTTCCCTTCCCTTCCCTTCCCTTTTCCATCAGCTTCAGAGCCTCATCCAGGAATGGTGGTGCCCGGGCCCACCCTGATCCGTTCCTCCCCAGACCCACCCAGACAGCTACAGGAAGGAGGAAGCAGAAGGCAAGG